ATTTTCAGTCCCTGTCTGCTTCCGTTTTTTTTTAGGGTTTTCCCTAGAATATCATTCTGGGGTTTGCCTCCCACCACTAAAACTGTAACTTCCTTCCACATCTTCTACCAAGGAACCCCACTGTAAATAGGTCGAAAGACTTTCGTGGGCTACCGCGGCCATTTGCTGAATAATCACAAAAAAGAAACAACAAGTATGACCCATGTAATTGAGGGGCATGTTTGTTGATGGTTAACATGTGCACAACATTTGAAAATTTGCAGCAAGACGTGTCTTTGGCATGTGTCGTTTTGAAATGTGATCTAGAACTCAATGCTTTGAAACTGTGTGCATAGCACCGAACTATGTTCCTAATCATATGTTGAAATAATATACTGAATGATACTCTGGGCAGTCTACCAATACCCCACACCAATAAACAGGTGTTGGGAGCTACCATATTGACAGTTTCGTCCTGTGTATGCCGCGGTACATTGGCAGATGTAGTCGGGACCCTGGTTGTCGCAGCGACCGCCATTCAGACAGGGATTGCTCCGGCAGGTATTCAGATCTGCACAGGGGAAGAGGAACAAAAACGGTGCAATTTTTAGAAATGCTAGCTTCTGAAGTCAGGCATATCACAGCAGGCTGTCACAGACTGTAAACGACTTATCTGACAAGCCATTACCGTGACGTAAGAATAATTTCATGAGGTGACAGATAAAATGTCCATTCCACGAGACAAAGCCGAGTAGAATGGCACATTCCATCTGTCACTGAATGACACCATTCTTTCCATTGCACGAATGTGTAACACTCATGATTTGTTTTATACAACGCCTGAAGGAATCTTCGTCATCTGATTGATTGTAGTTTTGAAATTGCAATGGAACTTTGATTTACCATGGAGTGGAACTTCTGTTTTTTTTGGTGGTACATGGATTGGGACGAATAATTCAATGACACCTTATCGACGACCCATCTATCAGATGAGGGCGACAAATATTACATGCCAAATTATAACTGTCGGTAACATTTTTGAGGCACAGTTGGGGTTAAGAGCAAGTAGGTTTTAAAAGCTCCTGTGACTTTAGCAAAAGACTGTTTCATTTGTGCCAGCACAATGATTTTAGTGACAAACGTGAAAAGTGCCTTTTTTTGCCAACTTGTCTTGTTCCTACAGGACACCACTTATACACTTCTATTACACTCCAACTTTTTTAACTTAAAAAATGCACTTAGGCAATGCTACAAGCCTACGCAATCTTAAAAAAAAACAGCATTGGGTACGAACTTCAGCACCAATTCGGGCGATTCACAATGCAGTGCGCCACCAAGAATTTGCCACGGAGAGTTCATTTTTCCCAGTGTATTGTGGGAGATGGTCGACAAATTCGCAGCGCGGGCTATTTGAAATTGCGAGTCTTTCCGGTCACTTAGTTTCGTAAGCGTATGATTCGAGGATCTGTTTACCCTGTCCTTTTCTTCTCATCAATATGTTTTTTTTTTTGGCAAGGCGGCAGACACTATGCTCCAATCTATAACATATTAGCTCAAGTTGTCGACTGATACTCATTCAAATGGACCATGTTTTATCGACCGTAAACCTGAAAAATGGACTCTCCATGGCAAACTCTTGGTGGCGCACTGCATTGTGAATCGCCCCCGAATTGCAAAAGATTGCATCTCAAAGCGTTGCGTAGCCGTGAAGAGAAAGTGGAAAGCTCCTAGTTTGCCTGACTTACCGGTTTCACAGTGAACACCAGTGTAATCGTTGGGGCAGTTGCATTCATACCGGTTGATGCCATCGACGCAGACCCCGCCATTGCGGCACGGTCCGCTCATGCATTCATTGATATCTGAGAAAGAGAAACAGAAAGGGTGAATATTGGCCAAACTTGAAGTAATTACGACGGTCGTGTTTGGATACTTTTTGTGTGTCATATTTGAAATGAAAATGCAGAAGTTTAAGTACGTCTAGTAAAGCTGTTGCAAGACCAGTCTAAGTCAGAGCGCAGAAAATTCTGTTCAGTTGATTTTAGAATGGCTGTTCACCGGAAGTCTTTTCATGCATCTGGTCCACACAATGGGCCAGAGTTGGGCCCATCATTCATTGGTGTAATACAAAGTAATCCTATATGATAGCACTGCCCGGCTCTCTTCATCAGCTTACAACCAGTCTAGGTCACAACTGACATTCAGTTTTACAGGCACCAGCAAGAAAATAAAGATAATATATACAGGGTGTCCCCCCCAAAAAAGTCCCTCTCAGGGTTGTAGCAGAATTCGAAAAAAATGAGATGTTATTTCTACTTGTTCTTACATAATCAGCAAGTTCGGTATTCCAAAATAGTCTGGTGCACAGCAAGATTCGACCATTTTTTTAAATTTCGGATTAACCGCGGCAGATAAATGCACACAAGGCTATGGGAGACGACGTGGTAACCAAATCTGCATTCTGTGCAATTTTTCGTGCAATCGAAAAGAGATGGAACTTTCGTTCCCACAAAATTTTGACACACAAGACACCTCAAACTTTTCGCTGTTCAAAGTTTTGTTGCAAAATGCTGTAATTCAAAACACGATGATCTCTTCAATTCTGCTGGTACCCCCTATGCTTTGCACGCATACGATGACATTTTTATCCGAAAGAAAAATTGTCAAATCTCGATGCGCACATGCGCAGTTGGAATACCGAACTGGATTATTGTGAAGAATATGTATTGTTCTATTTTCTGTAGAATTTCCATCGGATTTGGTTTACCGGTTTTCCAAATAAAGGCTGTTATGTAACACAGTACTATTTTGCACCATTCCAAGTTTAACGTTTAGCTTAAACTGGCTTTTTGATAAAATTACTAAACTAAACAGAAGGAAAACGATTGCTATGTTGCTAAACGAAACCGCTATGTTGTTAAAATAAATCACTTGCAGAGAAGTACATTGTGTACACTCTCAATGCATGTTGTCAAACTTGGAATGAAGCAAAAAGGAATAGTGTTACATCAATGGCCTTTGTTTCAAAACCACTGAATCAAATCCAACAAAATCTTTAAACAAGAAAGAAAATCGTTTGGGTTCATCAATTCTATAGTTGAATTTGAGAATTTTCATAAATCAAGAGAATTCTGAAACACCCTCCAGAGGAACATTTTTTGGGGGACACCCAGTACATACAAATAAAGTGGCTAAAATTTACAACTAATTAAAACAGTTTTATGATTAAAGGGAATGTACATCATTGGCTTTTGCTGTAATTTTCAGAAATGAACTATTGAGGGGTTAGGATAATAGATCAAATATTGCTACACTGACAAGTTTGAAGTTTTGTGTTCGAAAATGCAGGAAAAACCAAGAAAAACAAAAATGTTCAAGTAGTCTGGTTCCCTGATTCCACTAAAGATGATATGAATCAATTTATAGATGCCGGAAAATTGTAAGGTAAGGAAACCAGTCTAACTGGCCTGCACCCGTTCATGAACATGTAACCAATAGCAAACAAAATTTGGACTGAAAAAAAAAATGGTAAATTTGGAGCAGTATTTGAAAAATAGTTAGGTTTTTCCAACGGGGGTCGGCTGACCACCGTTGGAAATTTATACAAAAAAAACCCACTTTTCTTGAAAATGACTTCACACCAGGTGCCATAATTTTACAGGATGCTTCAGACTGTCATTTACCAACATCCTATTAAGCTATTTCGTAAAAATGTGGTAGTTTTGGTTTCCAATGTTTGCAAATGTTGTATATTCCCTTTAAATGAATTAAAAAAAAAAAATTAAGACCACTCACTTATCTGGCACCGGTCCCCTTCATAACCTGCCAAGCAGGTGCACGTGAAGCTGTTGACGCGATCTGTGCACCGACCGTTATTTTGGCACGGACTGCTGGCGCACTCGTCCACATCTGGCAAAAGGGGAACACAAGCGGAGAGGGAAATGTGAAATTGGTTGTCAAACCAATTTCACATTTCCCGTAAAACGCACTTCGCGGGAAAACACGGCAGAGCGTGCCTCCGATATGATCCTCCGTTCTCTTGCGCTGCAATGTGGCCAGCAATCGTTGTCGTTTTGTTGTTATTCAAACTATTTACTAGCGAAAAGATTCCATACACACATTTTTCTCCACCAAAAATTGGGAATTTCGTGAGATTTTCGGACAACGTTTTTTTTTTTTTTACCAATGCCACTAGCTTGCACAAGAGGTTAAAGGTCACCAGAGAGTTCCACTGGTTTTTCCGTAGTGCGTGCATCCACGAAGTCAGGAATACCCTATGTTTTACTGGATCAAACAGGCTGGTTCGGCTTACGAACTTAATCGAAATTTGGAACTGCAAAGCTTGCAGGTATTTTGACTTTCACGTCATGTTTGGAGAAAGAAATAGTTTGTCTCATTCCTGACTTTTTGGAGGCGATTTACAGGCAAATCTGAATGTTTTTTTTTACGGATGAATTGTGGTTGGTCCCTACATCTATGCCTAATTTATAAACTTACGCCCTAACTCTGCGAATGTAAGGGTTTAGGGGTGGGGTTGGAAGAGAAAAGGGGAGAAAAAAAAAAGGAAAGAAAAAAAAATTTCCAAGGAGAAGGAAAGAGAGACAAGTAAAAAAGAGAAAAAATAGAATTGTTAGTCATACCCAACCCATGGCACCATGAAAAACATGCAATGTGTATGTGTGTGTTTGACGAACCCAGCCGGTAAATTTTCAAAAATGAAAAGTCACCAGCCAGCGAACCCATGACCTTTTGGCCTCGGGCCGACCTCTGGGTCATGCGTCCGGTCACTACTTACGACACTGCACGTGTTGGGCACATGCGCGGCTCGATTTTTTTTTTCAGCCGGTGAAACTCGGAGAGAACCTCGTTCTGTTGCGACCACCTATCCCTGGCTTTTCGCTTTTTGCCAGTGGGGAGGAAAAAATCCTTGAGGGGGGAAAGATCGGTTAGGGTTAACTTTTATTTGTTTTGGTTAGGGTTAGACCAGAGAGGAGGAGTGATTTGTAGGGAACGGAAAACTTTACTAGTTTCGCAGAGGGTGCCCTCCCAGCCGGGGGCACAGGTACAGGTGAATTCGTTGATTCCGTCCACGCACTGACCGCCGTTGCGACAAGGGAAACTGTTGCATTCCTGGATGTCTGCAGAAGGAGACACAAATGTAAAAAACAAACATTCGATCACAAAATTTCGGAACAGCCAATGGAGAAACTGTACGGGATAGCCACACCAGGCGTTTGTACAGAAGCTAACAGATGGAGAAATTGTGACGCAGCTTCTTTAATTGGCCCTTGCACACTGTCCAAAATCTCTGTGTTGTACCAAAATGTAAAGGGGACGAACCTGTGTTTACAGGAACAGAGTGCCCATCTCTCTATCGTTAGCGATTGGGCCAGACTCATAGGCTGCTGTGGGGGGATCGCCACACCTCCTCCACAGCGAGTCCGTTACCTTCCCAGCATTGACTAATGCCGGTACCCATTTAACAGCTGAGTTGATAGGAGTAATTGAGGTAAAGCGCCTTACTCAAGGGCACAACACGCATGGCCACAGTGGGGCTCAAACCCAAAATCTCACAATCATGAATCCGATGCTCTACCGCTAGACCACACGTGCCAACGTACCAAGGTCGAACCCTGAGTTATCGGGAACCCCTTTCACACTAGATGGGGGAGTCAGGTTGGCGTAGCGGTACTTTCCTCGCCTACCACCGCTGTGACCCGGGTTCGAATCCCACCTGGGCCAACATGAGGATTGGGTTTTCAGTCCCTACCTGATTCCATGGGTTTTTCCCAGAATATTCTTCTGGGGTTTTCCTCCCAACTCTGAAAACTGTAACTTCTTCTCATTGTCTTCTCTCCGCAGGTTTCTTCAGGCCTTCGAGCTACAGTGCCTAGGGCGCTTTTGAGGAATCGTTGGTTTCATTACCAGAAATGATTAATAATAATAATAATAATAAAATAATCCAACTACACACGTCCAGTGCCATACACGAGGCAAATTCAGAGTCCTAAATGGAGACTTTCGGACTAACTCCACAAGGAAAGCCTTGTCGGTTTTTTTTTTTGGGGGGGGGGGGAGGATTGCAATAGCCACTCACTGTTTTCGCAGACAGTTCCCTCCCATCCTGGTTGACAGGTGCAGTCAAAGCGGTTGATGCGATCGTTACACTGTCCTCCGTTCTGGCAAGGGTTGCTGGCGCATTCATTGATATCTGGAAGAAACAAGAGAAAATCCAAACTGATGGTCAGAAAAAACTGTTCCGAAAGCCAACATTATAAAAAGAGTTTCGTCTGACTTCTTAAAAAAAAAACCGGACAGCGAATTTAAAACTTTTGCCACAGGTTAACCCTACAAGGGTTAACCTTTTTTTCGTGACCCGAGCTGTTTTGACTTTTTAGCCTTGAGCCTTGCGCATCTTTTGATACCAAAAACATGAAAATTGGACCAGGGGTTGCCGCGTAGCGAACAATTTTCCGGCGCTATGTGCCGTGAAAACTGAATTTTCCCATATACATCGTGTACACAGAGCAGAATTACCATTCTTATATATGAATAATTAATGTGCCATAATTCCTAAACCCTTTGACCTATAGTCATGAAATTTCTGGGGTATGTTCATGATGAGTTGCTCTATGCACATACTGAATTGCAAAAATTTTCGTCACTCAATGGCCGAGATTTTAGGAGAGAGGCGGAAAAAAGGTAGCATGTGCAGAAACCACCTTTTGTGCAATGTGGTTGCTACTTATGTACTTCCTTTTCAGGGACCAGTAAACACGAATCACTGGCCCCTTTGGGGGTGTTAATAACAATAATAATACTAATCGTATTTATATAGCGCCTTTTGCAAAGGTTACAAAGTGCTGGGGGAGAATGCAACCAAAGACAGGTAAATGAAGTATATGAACATATGAGACCCATTACATGTATGTAGCACCTTTTTGCTAGGTGCTGCGGCGCATAACTGCCACAAACACCGGGGCAAACCTCTTCTCCTAGCAAAGGTGTTACTGGGATCTTTACACAACACACAGGACCTACAGCTTTACGTCCCATCCGAAGGACGAAGCAATAATGGTGAAGTGCCTTGCTCAAGAGCCCAAGCACCATGTTCACACGGTCAGGATTTGAACCCATGTACCACGGCACACGAGTCGAACACCGTAACCATTGGACCACAGCGCCCCACACTTTATATTATATTATGAAAAAATTGTGTTGACGTCGAATGATATCTTACCATTCTCGCAGTTGATTCCATCGTAGCCTGCGGGGCAGTTGCAGGTATACTGGTTAACCATGTCCCGGCAGAAGCCGCCGTTCAGACAGGGCGAGCTTGCGCATTCATTGATATCTGCAATGAATGATTTAAACACATTGATTTTCATGTCAGTAGAAATGCATTGTACACTTGAGGAGTTTACTGCCAAAACGCGATATATCCATTTGAAAAAAAAAAGTGACAAATCTGCATGTTTTATCAAAGTTTTAAGGCATAAAAACAGTACAACAACTGTTTTTAAACTTCACTTTTCGCTTCACTGTCTTCTATTTGAACTATACCAAACCCTTTCAATACTGACTTTAGGCAGCCAGGAATGAGCGGGCTTCTAAAACTTAACAAAATGGCGCTTATTGCATTTTGGAGAAAACTCTTCACTTACAGAATATCGTATTTTTGAAAATTAATTTGTGTAAATTAACATTTACTCTGATAATTCTATATAATGTAATATTACCAGCATTTAGGGATAAAAGTAAAACGAGTGCTTTGGATTTTCCCGATGCAACAGACAAGAAAAGAGTACAAACAAAAAGGGACAAACAAACAAACAAAAGGCAATACGATTATGAACTTAAAATGACATCAAACTATATCAAAATTTGCACCAAAATAGTATCTGCTTCTGTGGACAATTTCTTTTATGTTCTTGAGATCAATTAATATTTCTTCAGACCACACTGTGGCATTGACAAAGGATAGACACATCGGACACCCAGATGATATAAAGTGTAACAGAACTTTTCACTGGAGACAAATAAAGCTTCCCTCTGTCACTGACCAATCACATTGCACGGTTCAAAATGCAATAATCTGCACTACATTAATTCAAAAGATCAAAATTATTTCGAATTGGAAATTGGATTCTGGGCACATGTCACTGATACGTTTGCCTTTTATTTTCATTTGCGATGAAAACAAATCTGCTCCTAAAATGGGTATCAAATTGTTAAACACTAAAACGCTATGACAGTAAAATTCATCTTCACAAAAAAAAACCCAAAACAAATACACAACCACGGAGCAGACAAAAAATGACTATGAATGAATCGTTTTTCGGAGAACTTACCAATCTCGCAGTTGATACCAGTGTATCCAGGTTGGCAGGTACACGTGTACATATTGATGAGATTGTTACAGGCGGCACCAAAGCGACAGGGCGAGCTGGCACACTCATTGATGTCTGCAAGAAAGAAGAAAATGAAACGGTGACGTCAAGTCGAGTGGAAACGAGACGGGCGGAGATGACTGGGGACGAGACTAGAACCTCCAGGCAGTGTCCCAAGCACCGTCGATATCAGATTTGTTTTCAATAATCGATAGATCGGAAATCCAATATCGAGAATATTCAATTTATTGATTATCCCGTGTAAAAGTTCAAGACCATTAAAGATGACACTTTGATTAACAAAGTTTAAGTCCCAATTCTGCATGGCTTTCGCTGGAGCAATATGCTCAAATTTTTTAAAACAAACTTCAGCACTGAGAGTTTGTCCAGAACAGGCTTTAAAAAAAAAAAGTTTTAGATTGGAGCACAATGCGACACCGCTTGGCATTTCGCGACGTTTTTATTTTGAGTCACAAGCAGAAGTTGACGTCGAGTTTTATTTCATTATACAGCAAAAGGTAAAGGAGATTTATTTTGACGATAATCTGAGGCATTTTCAATACTTTCGAAAATTGGGATATTTCGATGTGATAAAAAAAATGGCTATCGACGATATCGATATCAAAATAAAACTGAATAATCGAGTAATATCTATATATCGACGGTGCCTTAGGGAGTTCGGTGGACACTGTGCACAAGCACCCTCTCCACACTGGGATGGAGAGGCAGCGATAGACAAACTCTTGGCCAAGTGTACGCCAAGGCATCGACATGAACAAGCCTATATTAAACCGTCTACAAATGAAGCTTATGTAAAGCTTCTTTAGACAAGCACGCCCTCCTGTACAGGGTGAGCCAAAAAAAAAAAAAAAAAAAAAAAAATTGCATCCCAAATGGCAGGACCAATTTTGGAATGAAGTTTTGCCTGTAGCACTTTCAAAATCTTGGATATGAAAGCCCACCTCCGAAGCTATAAGTACAAGAATCATTCGAATCACTCATATACTTTTCAAGTTACGGCATTTTGAAAACAAACACCGTTTTAAAGTTCTGTCCACGGATCACAAAAAAGGTATGTGTTCTTTCAGCAAAACGAAAACAAGTCACATACACCCCTATGAGAACTGTTTTCGTTTTGCTGAAAGAACACTTACTTTTTTTGTGATCCGTGGACAGAACTTTAAAACGGTGTTTGTGTTCAAAATTCCGTAACTTGAAACCTACATGAGTGATCTGAATGATTCTCATACTAAATGAAAGCTTAATAACTGGGCTTTCGTATACCAGATTTTGAAAGTGCTACAGGCAAACGTCGTTCAAAAAATTGGCCCTGCCATTTGGGATGCTTTTTTTTATAACAATGACATTCTATGTCGGAACGCGAGATTTTCTTGTGATTCCTTACCAGTTTGGCACTGCAGGCCAGTGTATCCAGGCACGCAGTCACAGGTATAACCGTTGACGCCATCACGACATGCGCCACCGTTTTGGCAGGGACCACTGCGACACTCGTCGATATCTGAAGGTGCGAGAAAGAGAGTTCAAAGGTCAAACCAAGTATGGTTGTAATACTCTTCACTCCGACAGGCTAAAAGGATGCCTTGCCCTAGTGCCCCCCTTCAAACCCTCCCTCTCTGTCTGATCAGTTCCGCTACACCATCGCAGCAGTCAAAATCAATCAAAGAACTAGTGTGTTTTTTCTTAACAGTTATGAACTCCCTTGTTTATTTTGACTGGAGGTGATTGATATGCCAGCTGTGCCTATCAGTTACCTCTTTAGTCTGTTGATGGAATTTGACTAGTCAAAGTGTTTTACATGAATGTGATGACCCGACTATTTTACTAGTCTGTATACAAATGTACGGCAAGGGAAGTGGAAAACACTGACTGTCTGTGACTGACCAAACAATAGGAGGGCAAAACTCTGCAGTCAGTTTACGGCATTTTCCTTGTCACCAAAGGCACAGTTCTGCCACAATTTTTTTTTGTGGCAAAAATATTGAGAAAAAACCCCTGAGTGTTTCATGTGAATGGTTAATACCTTGTCCTCCACAGGAATTTGGATTTTTTTCAAATTCGTGGCTGTGGTGAGGAGTTATGCCATTTTCATCGAAGTGGCTCATTTTCCAGTCTGCACACGGAATTGGTTCTGCCTTTTTTAAAATGTTTTTTTAATCCTTTTCTTCCTCCATTGTCTTCTGTTACAGATAATCCACCTGGTCTTCCTTGTTTGTGTTTACCCATCTTCCCCCATCTTTCATCCCTTTCCACCTCAATACTGTCCCCCCCCCCCCGCATCATCCCCCTCTTTTAACACTCTTTTTTCCGTTCCCACTCCCTGTGACCTTTGATCCTTCCCCTTTCTGGTCCCTTCCCTGTTTATACCAGACCCCTTGTGGTTTGCAATCTCCCTTTGTTTCTTTGTTCTCTCATCCACCCTCCCCTGCATCTTTCTACACCTTTCCCACTTAATCCTCCTTTTGTGTTTCTTCTTTCAGCCCTGCATGTTTGTGTGCACCCCCATGTTAATGTATGTACCTCTGTCATTTCTGTTTTAGCCTCTGAAGAAGAACTTGCTAAGTTCGCAACGTCAGGCCACATTAATTTTTAGATTTTTTTTAAATGTGTCAATAACTTCAAGTGAGTCAGTCACCATGACTAGGTTGTTATTACACTACTTCACATCAGTGCGCAATTTCAATAAATTTCTTGAACCATGGAACTGTGGTCAGAGTGGTTTTTTTTAGCGTGTGTTCTTTGCTAGCGCTTTTCTTCAAAATGGTACAATGGATATACATGGAACTCTCACCAAATATGTCCAAACTACCAACCTATAACATATCTCATTTGGACTTGTTTTGATAATTGCTACATATCTTTAATATTTTCCGTAATTTGGGTCCAAATCATTCTGACTCACCCTGTATACTACTTCGAAATGTGAGATTTAATGTCCAAAAACAGGATTTTCTTGAAGATTTGAACAGATTGTACTTTATATGAACTCAATTTGTATCGGTGTATGGGAGAGTGCGAAATAAACGTCTTCTGCATTGAACAGAATTGAAGTAAATGTGAACTTGTTCAAGAGCACGGACGGTACATTTTTCAAACCAATTTTGTATACTCATAGTCGGAGAATCGGACATTCATGTGTGCAGAGCCACAGGAACGAACATCTGATATATCCGATTATGCAAATTTTATGGGACCCCGCGCGCCAACCAATCGGAGTCAACTTTAGAAACCGGGATGTCATTTTGATCAGAAATGTGGACTAAGCTGTTGATTGGTCAATTTGGTTGCCATGTTTTTGTAATGGGTTACGGAAGGCCCGATATTAAAGGCACCCACTGAATGGTCAGACTCTTGAGATCAAAGGCGCGGTCTTGTTTTGCATATTTAATCGCCGTATCTGCTCAAGTGCGGATCCAGAACACAATTTTTTTTTGGGGGGGGGGGGGCCAAAAACATTTTGGTACCCCCAATTTTTTTTTTGGGGGGGGGGGGGATTCAACACGCTCTGTGGTGCGATATGAGGCAATTTCTGACCATTTAACCAATTCTTTTGAGGAAAAGATGGTGGGGTAAGCAGTGCCTGCCTTTACTGCTTGCATATCATATACCCTTGCTGTGCAAGAGGATACTCCATAGACTAGGCTACTCACTGTTTTGGCAGAAGTCGCCATCGTATCCTGCAGCACAGCGACAGGTGTAGCCGTTGACGCCATCATTGCAGGTGCCACCGTTGCGGCAGGGAGTACTGGCGCACTCGTCAATATCTAAACAAAGAGGCAAAAGCCATTCGATTGTACTTTGCTTGTTCTTCGGTATTAGTGCAAACACTAGAGATCAGCATGCTCCTTGCAGCCGCTACGCTGCTCTCTACGTGCCTAAGCCCCATGAAATCAAACAGCCTCCTAACCTTTCCCCTCATTTTGCCAATCTACACACTGAGGTGACACACTGAGTATACAGTGTTTATACGTCGGTGAAGGGCCAAAAACCTAATTTGATTTACATCACACCGACGCAAAATTCCATCTTATGAATAGTTTAATGCGGTACCCGCTGCTAGGGACATCAGATTCGGAGTGGTAAGACGTCTGCACTAAAGCAGGAGGTCGTGGGTTCGAGTCCCACCCCAGGGATTTTTTTTCCAACTTTCACTCGGGAGGTAACACACTAAGTATACAGTGTTTATACGTCGGTGAAGGGCAAAAACCTAGTTTGATTTACATCACCCTGACGCAAAATTCCATCTTATGAACATTCAGTACGAATGAAAAGCAAATAATCCTATATGCCTTAAAGTGACTCATGACCCGGACTCGGACTCAGACTTGGACTCAACACTGAGGAGTTGGACTTGGACTCAGACTTGAGGCTTGACGATTTGAATATTGTTGGGTTCGAGTATGCTGGTGAATTTTCATCTGTTGCTTATGATACAGTTTCCATCTCCCCAACACAAGCCTCCATCCTACAAGATACACATATGTGACCTGTTCTGTCAAAATCAGACTTTTCTGGGCGTAAGGTCGAAAATGATATTTTTACATAGTGTTAACATATGTTCTTTTTCCTTTTAGTAGGTGGTTTAATTTTTGAAACTGGTCATTCCTGGGCAGAGTTATGCTATTTTGAAGTTCATTGTGTCGAAAAGTAGAAAACGGAGAAAATGGCCACGAACGTCACAAAACAATTATTTCTTTAACTGATATGCCTTATCAAAATCATCAAAAATAGTATATATGTAGAGTTCAAATTAGGGTTTCAAACTTTTATTATAGATTTCAGACATGTTCAGGATTACAAATATGCAAAAATTTGAAAATCGATAAAAATCACCCCCACAGCGTTTTTTGGCCCTATCTCAATTTCAACCTCTGCCCAGAAGCGTCTGCTTTTGACAGAACAGGTCACATATACAAGGGTGTGCTTGTAAAGGTGTTTATAAAGCATAATGGCCGACTCACTGATTCCACAACGAAGGCCCTCCCATCCAGGGTTACAATTGCAAGTGTACATGTTGATACCGTCCTGGCAATTGCCACCATTGAAGCAAGGACTGCTGGCGCATTCATTCACATCTTGAAGAGGAAAAAAAACAACACAAACACAGACTTGTCAGGATCATCGTGCATAGGGGAGTCAGGTTGGTTCTTGGTTCTTGGTTGGTTCTTCTCCTAAATACTCCACGTGGGAGTTTATACAGGAGGCCAGAAACACCGGGGCAAACCCCTTCTCTTAGCGATAAGTGTTTACTGGGTTCTTTTACCTGCATTTATACAACACACGGGACCTACGGCTTAACGTCCCATCCGAAGGACGAAGCAATAATGGTTAAGTGCCTTGCTTAAGAGCACAAGTGTCCGCCGGCGGGCTCGAACCCACGTCACTGTTGCCTCTGAAACACCAGAACGTGAGTCCGGTGTTCTTAACCGCTAGGCCATTACACTACGTTGGCGTAGCGGTACTTTCCTCGCCTTCCACCGCTGTGACCCGGGTTCGAATCCCGCCTGGGCCAATATGTGGATTGGGTTTTCAGTCCCTGCCTGATGCCGTGGGTTTTTCCCCAGAATATTCTTCTGAGCTTTTCCTCCCACCTCTAAAACTGTAACTTCTTCTCATTGTCTTCTCTCCACAGGTTTCTTCAGGCTTGCGAGCTTACAGTGCCTAGGGCGCTTTTGAAGAATCCTTGGTTTCATTACCAGAAATGATTAATAATAATAATAATAATAATAATAGACGCTTTGCAGATTGAAATTGAAAATAAATAAATAACTAGAAAGTATTCAGAGACCATCTGCTTACGATAAAGTTTGCTCGCCAGCTTACTGCAATGTACTGACATAATAACGAATCACCAACGAAAAGAAAATTCACGACAGGAAAATATCCAACATTCTGGCAACTTTTGGTGCTGAAATAGCTGTAACATTGAGGTGTCTGCCTGAACTGACGTCACACTTTTGCTTATGAATATGTAAATTAGCATTAGCATAAAAAACCAAGAAAGGAATCAAATACCCTTGAAAATGGCAAAATGAAAAATTGAAAATGGAACACAAAGGTGCGTTTTCCTGTGTCTTTTTGCAAGAATTTACTCCTATTCTGAAAATCTCACACCTCCACACCTCAACTGATGCGCAAGTTCTGCTTTTGCCCACTTTTGGAGTTTTTATTTGTTTTTAAAGTTTTTGAGGTGTGACCTCAGTTTTGTGCACACCGAAAAGGCCTTCCATTGGATAAGCATCCAAACTGTGAGCAACAAAATGGTACATGTTGTGCATTATATAACCGACATACAGATCCTTGTCATTTGATTAGTGGAACTCACATCACGTGACATTCACATCACGTGACATGTGAACTCACATCACGTGACATGGGAGGTATTGCTCCCATTCACGCCACGGCCCAAAAAGTACTATCCGCCCATGGGGAATGGGAAATACTATTGAACAGTTAGGATCATGACGCGGTATTTGTGTACAAATGCATGCTGGTGTGCGCGTTCAGCGTTGCGCGTAGCACGTATTGTTCCAAAGAGCCAGCGCTACAGCATTGGGTTCAAACATTTTCGTGAAGGGGTGGTTTGGAAGAGAGAAATACATTTCCTCCAGTTTTGTATTGAAATAAAAGTTCAAATACATCAAATGACAAGGATCTATATGTCAGTTATATGAAACAAATATTGGGTGGCTTTAAATTGTGAAATGGGAGGAATATCATCGCTCGGACATTTCCAGTTCAATCGGCTTCGCCTCGTGAATTGGAAAAGTCCAGATTTTACCTTGCGATAATATTCCTCAAATTAGGTTTTTGCCCTTCACCGACGTTTTTAAACACTGTATACTCAGTGTGTTACCTCCCGAGTGAAAGTTGGAAAAAATCACTCGGGTGGGACTCGAACCCACGACCTCCTGCTTTCTAGTGCAGATGTCTTACCACTCGACCACCGAGCTAACGGGATCGGGTGGCCGGTTCGAATCTGATATACATAGCAGCGGGTACCGCATAAACTATTATAAGATGGAATTTTGCGTCGGAGTGATATAAATCAAATTAGGTTTTTGCCCTTCACCGACGTTTTTAAACACTGTATACTCAGTGTGTTAAAAACGTCGGTGAAGGGCAAAAACCTAATTTGATTTATATCACCCCGACGCAAAATTCCATCTTATGATAATATTCCTCCCATTCCACGCTGAGCCACTCAATATTTGTATACTATGGCATGAAAAGGTCCACTTTAGGGGACCGACAACCCCCACCCCACAGTTCCAGGTCGGGCAACTGGCCTGAAACTCTCCTGTCCAAATGACTTACTGGTGGCACAAGTGACTCCGGTCCAGCCTGGTGTGCAGGTGCAACGGAAGCCGTTGACTAGATCGTCGCACCTGCCACCGTTCAAACATGGGTTACTGCTACACTCATCAAAGTCTGAAAGAAAGAAAAAGAACAATTTTTAAAAATATAACATGCGTCAAGTTATCTTTAGATATTATAGTGCAAAGCTGTCTTGTGAGTGGAGTCAAAATGAGGTCCATTTTTTTTTTTTTTACAATGTGGGTTACGTTAAAAACTTCGCAAAATATAAGGGAATGATTCCCGTCACAGGGCCACCACTGGCAGTAGTCAAACCGTGCAATAGAAGAAGCTCTATTCACCGTGGAATAGAACTTCTTCTATTGCACGGGAATGATTCCTATCACAGCGCCACCACTGGCAGTAATCAAACCGTGCAATAGAAGAAGTTCTATTCACTGTGGAATAGAACTGCTATTTTTTTTTTGCGGTGCTGCTGAGTTGCGGGTTGGGACGAATAATTCGATGACATGTGATCAACGATCTACCAATCAGATGACGGGGATTTATTCATGTGTTGTATAATTCTATATTTCTATTGGCACCCATAAAAGGGTGCCTTTACAGTGCCTTGTTCGCTCAAAAATTACAAACATTTACATCCTACTGGCGTTTGTGGAACGCTGTGGTCCAATGGTTACGGTGTTCGTCTCATGTGTCGTGGTACATGGGTTCGAACCCTGCAGGAAACACGGTGCTTGTGTTCTTGGGCAAGACACTTTACTACAATTGCCTCTCTCCACCCAGGAGTATAAATGGGTACCTGTGAAGGTAGAGACCAGAATGCGCTGATCTCGAGCTGCTGCAAAAACTGGTCTCATAGCCTGATGAACAGCGGTAATAATTATGAAGCACTTTGAGACCTTTGGTATAAAGCGCTATGGGCTCCGTGCAATGATCCAAAGTTATTGGGGGTTGGCATTATAGTCTGGGAGACCATCTCAGTCAATTTCGAACGTATTCGCGTGCCCACGACGTCTGATGCTCACGCACAAAGATGTTATTGCTCAGCTATGTGCTCATTCAGGATAAGTAATTATTGCGCACTTCGCGCGCGAACCAGTACAGTACGCACACGTGGTGTCATGTCAAAGGGGCTCTCAAAAGTGGTAAAAATGCGCCCTGGCAGCGGAGCCCAATTTTTATTACATGTACTTACTAATTTCACAGTTGTCGCCAACAAAGCCAGGAGTGCAAACACACGTGTACCGGTTGAGACCATCCTGACATTGGCCGTTGTTCTGGCAAGGCTGACTGCGACACTCATCATCATCTGAGATTGAAATAGAGAAAGCAAAAATCAATTACTGAAAAAAAACCCACCATACTGTATGTAAATGGGAGAATGGAAAATGTGACATACAGGGTGAGTAAAAAAGAAAAAAGAAAAAGGAAACCCAAATGGCAGGACCAATTATTTCATGAAGTTCTGCATGTAGCACTTTCAAAATCTAGGATATGAAAGCCCAATTAATAAGCTTCTTTTTTCGTACAAGAATCATTCAAATCACTCGTGTACTTTTCAAGTTACAGACTTTTGAACACAACCACCGTTTTGAAGTACTGTCCACGGATCACAAAAAAAGCAAGTGTTCTTTCAGCAAAAGGAAAACGATTCACATAGGGACTTGCCTTTTTTTTGTGATTTGTGGTCAGAAGTTTAAAACGGTGTTTGTGTTTAAATTTATTTGACGTTGTAGTGTACTCAGTATTATCCAAGGCCTTGTGACAAATCCACAAGCTTACGTGGAACTCGAACCCATAACGAGTCTTAACGCTCGACCACAGAACTTCCCGGGGTCAACTAGCTGATAAAGCCGTGGTAGTGCAACCAAACCATTTATTATTCTACCTGATATTAGATTTTCAACTAATGAAGTTTTACAATCTATATGTAACACATTTTTGGTTTATTATATAATATTGCAATCTTGGACAGTGGGCAAATGACGGTTCTTACGCTTCTTGGGAGATTCAACACAGTTTGATCTCTCAGCGGTTGTGCTTACCGTTTTCACAACGCAAGCCACTGTACCCGGCCGGACAGCGACATTCAAAGCGATTGACCAGATCGTCACATTGACCTCCATTCAGACATGGGCCGGAGGCGCACTCGTTGATATCTAGGAGAAAGGGGGGAAAACAAATTGAAATGTCAGATGAGATTTGAAGGTTTGCATGGTGGAAAGATACTAAGACAAGATAAGTTTGCGGTAGCACCATGTGAATAAATCTCTTTTGTGAGTATGTGTGGTTCTGAAAAGAACCGGAGGGACTCAACATTTCGAAAAGTATGCTCTGCCCGTCGTCAGGTGAAATGTCACTCACTTTTTTTCATGTCTGTTAAGGGATCTAGTTATTGTCAATGCCAGTGTGCTCGATCCTAATGCAGTTTTTGAAAAAAAATCGCTTGTGCTTCTTGAATGCGAAATTTCCTGTTAGAGAAACACCTGATAAAATGAAACAATGTGCAGGACGTTGCCCAATGGCACCCTGCTAGGGAACCTTATGAAAAAATCAGCGCATGGAGGCTTCAGTGAAGTAACAAGTGGATGGGTTTTTAACTCAAAACAAACCATAAATTCAAGCAAAACTGACGTGTTTTGGTCAACAAGATCTGGCAAGATGATTGGTGCATACTTGCAAAAAGAGTTTTATTAGTTTTTCGGACTGAAAGGGACCATGAACTGAAGTTATTTAATGCAATCCTGGAAAATCCCTTTAGTTGCTGTAGCGCCCAAAACCGCCCCAGCACCCAAGGGCGGATCCAGGGGGGGCCAATGGGGGCCATGGCCCCCCCCAAAACGAAACCAATTATTTTTTTTTTTTTATGTGACATCGCAATAAAGGCAGGCAATGAGTACACAACCATCTTTTCCTCAAAAAAAACATTGGTTAAAGTGGTCAGAAATTGCCTCAGATCGCACCACAGAGCATCTAGAATCCAAATTTTTTTCGGGGCCCTTAAGCGGGCCCCGAACCCCACGCCGTATTTTTTGACCCACTTTTTTGGGGGACCAAATTTTTTTTTGGCCCCTCCCAAAATTGTGTTCTGGATCCGCCCTTGCCAGCACCTCATGGTCTCATTGATTTTTCAGTGAATAAATACAGTGTAATGCAATGAAGTCAAGGTGCTAATTGGTTAAACTGTATGTTCAATCTTTACGTTGCCATTTTCAAGAGATTTTTGGTGCCTTTTGATTTTTTATGCCAATGTTAATTTCCAGTTTTTAATTCAAAACTGTGATGCCATTTTCAGGAACTAATTTGTGAAAAAAGGTCTCTAAAAGGAGGATGTTAATTGCTGTCTGTGATCATGTGTGTTAAAGGTATAGTCCATCATTTGTAATTTGTGCATTTTGTTTATTTGAAGCAACAAAAGTGTTAAAAATCTAAAGAAGGGTGCTGAACAACTGACCTAATGAAGTTTCAGCTCAGCTTCAGCTGTATATTCCGAGAAAAATAGCATTCTCGGATCTCAATTTCAAATCAAAACTTGCTGAATCATGTTTTGAATTGCAGCTTAACACGATGTCGCACACTGATCCGACGAATTACAGCAACCGCGTGCGCGTGTGCGTCGTGCCAACACTTGCCTTTCGAAGGCCTTTCCAACGAAGGCCTTTCCAACTGTTGGAAAGGCCTTCAAAATGACAGCTTGCCAAAAAGAATAATTACACAGGGAGTTTTATAGTCCCCTTACTATCTGTCAACCAAGTATGCTTTTCAACAATAATTACGCCAGTTACTTTTCGGATTGCTGCAAATGATGGACTATAGCTTTAAATGCACATGGAAGTTGTCATGTACGGAGTGCGCATGAACCGTTGTGGGGGAAGAGAGCTTGACCTGGGGAGGAGGTGACGTCACACTTATGGCTACGTAAAGCACCTGAAGCCGTGTCCAAATTACTGGGCTATGACTGGAAATTACACACGCGCCTATGGCAGCAGCCGCAGCCACATCTCACAGACCCATAAAGTAACATCCAGCCGTAGCCTTTCCAACGAAGGGAAGGAGGAACTCACCGATTTCACACCGCAGGCCAGTATAACCGGGCTGGCAGACACACCGATAGGAGTTGATCAGGTCGTTGCAAGCGCCGCCATTCTGACAAGGATTGCTGGCACATTCATTGATATCTTGTGGTACAGATTGAAAAGACTTTAGGATAACGTCCGACTCATTTTACTCATTGAGAAAAAAAAGAAGGTTCTAAAAGCATGCACTTTTAGAGAAAAACCTATTTGGGAGGGAAAGTTAGCATCTTGAACAATTCATGAATGGAAAAAAAAGCTCAAATGTGATTACAAATTCTGGCAAAATGGAAAATATCCTGTAAAGAAAATGTTACACAACCTGAACATCAAAACACTGTTGGGACAAAGTATGAAATGTTGTACAGATACATGTACCAGTTTGGCACAGGGCTATGGGAAGGAGGAAAGGGGATAAATGCAGTAATTGAGGCTAAAGTGACGGAATTAGTTGGCATGGGTTTGGCTGGGTGGGATTTTCCGATGTCAACTGGTCTCAATATGGTTCGAAACTAGGAAGGAGGGTTTATTGTTTTTGTTCCTCATATGTGATGCGATCAAGCTAAATGAGGCGTTTGTCAGGAATTTTCATTTAGAGATTCAGGCCAAAATAGGGGCCACTTCATCACATCACTTCATCACATCTCTTGGTGTTCCAACTTCCATAACTTTTGAACTAAAGATGGTACCAGCATGCGGTTTTCACAGCAGTAATGCTGAGATTGTGCTCTTTTTAAATCTGAAAAAAAAAAATTGACCAGGATCGACAAACGACTCATTTAGTTTGATCGCATCACATATAATCTCTGTTTTGATTCAAAATATTTTCGACCTTAACTTCAGATTTCACTTTGTTCTCAGGTTCACAATGTTTTTGTTTTTTCGCTTCAGATTTTATGGTTGAATGAATTTTGAAGGAAACAAGGATTTTTTCCAGATGCTATCATTATATTCATTAACCAGAAAGTGCCGAACTCTCTAAATGAACATTTGAATTTGGAGAATGGGAACTAAACATGTAGTCATTTGATTTGACTTTTGGGGGAAAATTGGCAGATATTTTATATGGAGTGACCAATTCTAAACTTATCACAGCTATGTTATGTGTTCTGTCAAAACAAGAATCTTCTAGGCAGTACATATACTATTGAAATACATAGAATTTCCCTTTGAAAAGAGACTTTTCCACGGCAAAATAATGCCCTTTATAAGTTCTTGGGTTCTCAAAGTTGGTAACCGAGAAATCACTCATCTAAAGTTTTCCTCGTGCACCTTTTGAACTGATACATCCTCAAAATACAATCATCCAAAAATCATCAAAAATGATGGTTTTAAGAATTTTACAGATTTTTTAAAAGCATAATTAGGATCACAATAAAACCCACTAATCTTGGAAATTTGAAGAAAAACTAAATCAACCCATATAATTTTCTGGTCATATTGCCATTTCAACTTCTGTTAAAAAGAGTCTGGTTTTGAAAGAAAAAGTCACATTTTTCTAGTAGGATGGGCGGGAGGGGGGGGGGGGGGAGAAGAAGGGGCAAGTATTGAACAGAATTGATTTATCTGGACTATAACAGGCAACATTTTAAAAATGGCAAAATACAAATGTTAAACACATTCTCAAACAATATCAATGTGGCACATTTAAAATACAACTGTCACGTGACACAGTGGCACAACAAGATGAGAACGGGGAGAAAAAAAATCCCTTTCCCCACGTTCCCTCAACCAAAATTAAATTCGTCCAAAATACTTATCTTTCTTTTTACAATAAATAAAAAATCATAGAAACTCATTATTATGACAAAAATTGAAATGTACTTAAAATTTGAAAAGATTTTTCTGTAGAACTGTTGTCAAGAAGTGTTCAGTATTTTTAAAACTGTTTTCTTCAGACAACATTTTTTAATTAATCTTGCAAACCTGAATTTGTATTAATAGTTTTCAAGAAGATTCTTTCAATTTTCAAGGAGATGTCAAGACAATTGTTTTAGTTAAGTTCCGCATATAGTACTTTCAAAATCTAGGATATGAAAGCCCAATTCATAAGCTTTCTTTTAGTACAAGAATCATTCAAATCACTTATGTCCTTTTCAATGTGATTTGTTTTCGTGTTGCTGAGAGAACACTTAACTTTTTTTGTGATCCATGGACAGAACCTTAAAACGGTGGTTGTGTCTAAAACTCTGTAACTTGAAAAGTACATGTACATGAATGATTTGAATGATTCTTGTACTAAACGAAGCTTATGAATTGGGCTTTCATATCCTAGATATTGAAAGTGCTACATGCATAACTTCACTACAAAAATGGTCCAGACATTTGGGTTACATTTTTGGACTCACCCTGTATTTCCTCCAGCCTGGCTCTCACATTTATGTCTTAAATTATTTCAAAGCCACACCTTTTGCAATTGATGAATAAGTACCTACCGATTCAATGACCAGACCCTAGCTTAAAGCCAAGATAGGACTAGTGTCAAATACCCTATCAACCCGAAATGGTATTGTTTGTAAGTAAACTACTTTGAACATGTGCATTAGCAACGAAATCCAGTTACGAGACCAAAGCATTTTTTTTTAAATGTCCATGTGTTCTCTGTTTTCACTATTAAAATGTATTGTATTCATTAAGGGCAATTTTGTTGCAAACGATCTTCAGGACCTTTAAAATACTACCACTCTAAAGGTTTGATTTGAATGAATTTCATAACATCCATACAGAAAACACAGTGTATTTTCCTCAGATTTCCCTGTCAAATTACAAATGGTGGTTTTGTGGGTTCCCCCCATAAAGTTGGTTCATTTTTATCAAACCATCACTGCAAACCCATATTTACCTTTAAAACGTAATCGCTGAATTATTAATGAGAAGTAAATATTGACTGATCCTTCACAACACTAAAGACAACAGTTTTGCGAAGAGAAAATAAATCTAAACGAGGCAGAAAAAAAGATTAAAAATTAGACAACAAGTTTGGTAACTGTTCCGAAGTACATGTACAAACTGTGTTGAAATCATTCTGGCAAACCTCGATATCAAAGCAGAATAACAATTTCGAATCTTACATATCTCCATGGAAACAGACACTAGTTCACCTCACTTTTGTTGTTTTTTGTTATGTTTTGGAAAATAATCTCCTTTCTTGGGAAAATATCTCCTTTCTTCAGAAAGTGCACACAATTCCTTGAAAAACTAAAGAAAGTTATTCTCCTGCGTGTGTATCATTCTTTGTTGTGCCACTGGTCAAGTGAAACTTGTTTGCAACAAATATAACAATTTCAAACATCCATTTCAATACAAAACACAAGTCATCATCAATGTAAAATTAAAAAGGCAATTCATGTAAAAGTAAATGATAATGATGGGAAAAATAATCAAAATATTACACATATTATAACATTTAAGAAAAATACAATGATGGTGATGAAGCATGACAAAGACATATATGTTTATCGTCTGCAAAAATGAAAGACAAATCAGGTGAATTTTTTTCGCAAAGAGAAACAAATATTGATTTTGTTTCCATTATATTAGAGGTGACATGTAGCAGGAAATGAAGTTATGATTATTAAAGGAAAAAAAGAAGAAAGAACAGTTCTTAAAGATTAGTTTTAGAATTGCCTATGCATTGGTAGTTGTGCGGAAATTAGAATCTGGTACTTCTGTCCATAAGCAAGATAATTTACCACAAAGGCCATGTCTCAGTAAATAATACATGTAGGTGTATTCGCTGGTTTGATTCTTTTCATTGAGTTTATACAGTCGCGCAAAAGACGATGGTTTCAGAAAAAAACAAAAGTGAATTGATCTGCCTTTTTTTTTTCATTTCAAAGGTTATTAACTTATAAATGGACTCGAGGTGAGTTGAATTTGTTAAAGTTCATTTTCTGACAATGTTTTTCCAGGAGGCAAACTTTCTAAGTCTGCAATTGCTATCTGGGAGGGAGTACTTCAAGATAGGGTAGATCATTTGTCAATTGCGCATTTTTTTTTGTTTTTTTGGCTTGAAACAACAAAAGTGCTCAAACTGTAAAGACAGGTGCTTAACAACTAACCTGATGAACTTTAAGCTCTGCGAGTAATGTATACTCAGAACAAAACCATATTCTAGGATCTTGGTTTCAATTCGAAGATTGCTGTGTCATGTTTTGAATTTCGCCCGAAATCAACGTCCGGGACATGTTTTCATTGAGTCGATTGCAGCTACGCGATGTCAAGCACTGATCCGACGAATTATAGCAACGCCGCGCGCGTGTGCATTGTGTCGACGCTTGCGTGCAACCATTCACGGCTTCACTTGACGCATCTTTGGATATGGCCTTCTTTTGCCGTTTTCTTCAAAATGACAGCTTGCCAGAAAGAATAATTTCACGGGGAGTTTAGCGCCATTACTATCTTTAAGCCAAGTATGCTTCTCAACAATTATCGTCAATAACTTTTTGGACAGCTGCAAATGACCTACTCTACCTTTGATTATGATCGAGGAAACTTTTACTACACTGGTCATGTTTTTTAAATAGTCCTAATTCAGGAAAAAAGAAATGGCATATTAGTAGTGTTGGCAAAGTAACAAACAAAAAACAGACAAGATGATTGCCAGTAAGTAATTAGTATGACGTGAGGAATGAGTAGAAAAGAGAAGAGAATCAGAAGAACAAGAGGGGAAAATAGGGAAAAAATAGATGGGTGGAGAAACCCCTTTCTGTAACTAGAAATTTTGATTCCTAAGTAAGTTCATCTGTACATTTTCTGTCCTAGTACTAATGGTGTTCCCTTTTTGCCAGAAAACATACTCTGTGCATTAGTACCTAATGCACAAACTATGTTTTTTTTTAACAGTATTATTTAAAGGATAAACCTACATAACTAGTATAACTAGTCTTTAAATCTTTATTCTAATTACCTAAAACTTGATTCCTCTTCCTCTGTAATTTCTTTGGATTTACATGTATACAATTTTCATTAGTGGTCCACGAGGTTTATTAAAATTATCTTTAAATGCCGGTATTTCTTTTCAAAGGATCTTACCAAAAACCTATCTGTCAGAAATCAGATTTTTTTTTCTAACTGGGGGCAAAGATTGGCTCAATTTTACAAGAAGTCTCAGATTTTTGACTTAGACATTTAGATATGTAGACATTTAGGCTACATATCCATCATGAACATAAAATGATACTGCTATTTCTCTATCTGTTATGAAAAAAAAAGGACAGTTGAAGGTTTTTCCCTAGCCCTAGTGCTAGCCTCAAGTTTTATCTCCTGTTTTTATTGAAATGGTAAAAAAAAATCCTATGTCAACAAAATTGGGAAGGTATGGACAACTTTTTTTTATCAGAACCTTGAAATTTGAACTTTAGAGGGTCTGAAATGGATCAGAGGTATAATGTTCATATAATCATCAAATGATTTCATTCCACTTGATGCATTAGACTGAAAGCATTATGCCTACACTATAGAGCATGTTACGTTAACTCAGTATAAATTTCCTATCATTTATTGAACCTATAAATGCTTTCAGTGAATAGTTTTTAAAATTTCATTAAACAAGGGATGGTAGTATGATGGGGCTATTTCAATTTAGAATAATGCTCAGTAGGTATATAATACTCTACTTTCATTTAGAAATGTCTTTTAATGTCAAAGCAATGTTACTTGTTAGGCATACAATCTTCTTATGAATTATTCATTATCTGGAAATGTACCACTAGACCTACATTGTGGGTTAAAGCCTGGCCGTGCAGACAGGAAGTGGATGTTATGCATGCATTGTGGGGGCTAGTACACATGTGTGACTGGAGTACCATGCTCCATCTGCAGTCGGAAAGAGAGCATTTCAACTGTTAGAGACACGCCAAGAATCTGCAGTTCGTGTATTCATTTATGCAAACATATTCATTTGTGTAAATGTAAGATTGAAAGCTTCCATCTTTATGGCCCTTTCCAAATTTTGTCATTTGCCCCGCCCACCTTTGCTTTGAGTGCAGTTTCCCCACAATACTCGTGACTAAGTTTGATAGCCCGTTCGAGTAGCTTATTCGGATCGACTCTGGTTATAGCCCCGTGCCCCGATTAGCCATGGCCAAGTTCGGGCAAGGACCATTAGTCGACTAGTGGTTGATTTGTGACGTACCTTACGCCTGCGCACTAATAGCAAAGTGCAAACGTCTCTAGTCGAACGCTGGTCAAAATGTCATTGCAAAACGTCTGGATCCTGGCTCCCTGCTGTACGTTATGAACGCGCGCGGCTATGGTTACCAGCGATGCAACCAACCCCAGTAGGTTGGTTCCAAATAGTCGACTAGCGTAGTTAACCATCGTCGACTAGACAGAGTTCGGGCAAGCGTTAGTCGACCAATGGTTAACTATAGTCCTTACGCGAGCTTGCCCCATGATGTCAAACTTGGGGCTCACCCGGGTCAGCCACCACAGACCCTGCTCATGGAAAAGAGTCAGTGGTGGAAATATACCTCACACGCATGCATTGTTCATTCCAAGAAACAGACAAATATATTAAAAGGCAAACCTTTACTTTGTTTAAATGCTAAGATGATATTGAATGCTAGAACAAGATGCTGTAATGTCATCTTTAGCCATTTGCTAAACCACGGCTGTGTCTCCAGCTTTGCCTTCACTTCCGGCAACCAGGATAAATTTTAGATACAACAGATTAGTGATGCTCTGAAGTTGATTCAGTGATTTTGTGATGCCAATGAAAAGAGGTCCATTTCATGTATTGTGAGCCAGGGTTCTAAGTTTGGAGGCCTAAACTCATTTAAAAACTGCTGTTAGAAGCCGAAGCCGGGGACAAAAACCGGGGTTTGGTGAACACCTATTACTTGTTAAGCACACCCTCCAGTGTTTTGGCATGAGACAACCTTCACCGCGCCTACTCAAGTTACAGCGCTCTCTTGTGACGGCGAAACAACATTTTAGTTATTTAAAACTGATTGTAATGTACATCCCATGTGCATTAGTGATAAGGCCAAAAAAAAATTCTGCTTCCGAATTCCCTACCTATCCTATTCAGACAGCCCCTACCGTAGTTTTTCGGGGGGAGGGGTGGATCAAAAAAATAACACCCAAAACCATCAATTACATGTACTACCTTTTACCCTTGACTACACACAGACGCCTCCATATGATTGTACAAAAAAAATTAAAAAAATTGCCCCCCCACAAAAAATTCCCTACCTACCTACCCTACAGGTATTTTCGAATGCCATGTTATTGGAAGCAGAACTATTTTATTTGGGGGGGGGGGAACCTAATCCTAATTCTGAAAAAAATTTCAACGGATGACGTAACCCATTTAAAAAAAATTGTTCAAGTTTTGGGTTTTGTGAAACGGGAAGTTGGTTGAAATAAAAATGGAATTACAGCTAATTACATGGAGCTTTTAAGCAGAGAAGTTTAATAAGCACAAAAAATGCCTGAAGAGCAAAAAACCCAGTAACTAACCAAAACGTAATGTTATGAATACTGCCCTAAAAAAGTTCAAATTAAGCCCTAATGAGTTTTTTCCATACTTTTTTTGGGAAAAACAAATATATTATTATTATATTTCCAAATAAACCAATTTAACCACAGCTCTTTTGTCTGAAATTCACTGCAAATAATCAGAACTGATGTATAACTTTGACACGAAAAAACAACAACTTTGAGCACGTATTGTACTCATCCACTGCATCTGTCCGAAGAATATCAACGAGCTCCCCGGTCCATGGAGAATTTTCACGCTGAAATATACTGCAGCTCCATTTATGATCACATCAACAGAGGAATAAAATCAGGGCTTGTTCTTTTGGACTTTTATAAAATGGCCAGTGTACTTCAACTATTTCAGCTTCTGCGAAGGTCTTATTCAACATTGATAAATTTTACGAATTGTAAATACCGTTTTATGCGTAACAGCTATTGTGGAGAAATACATACACGTACTTGACATCTACTGAGTAAAGTGACCTTTTGAATACCTTACAACTAAAAGTCAGACATCCAAATGAGACTAAAAAAAAGCTATACAATGTATAACATAAAACCTGTTGTAAGTCCTACATACTACCAGGATATTCAGAGGGAGATGAGAAAAAGATGTAGGGAAGTAAATGGAATATTGATAAAAATGACATTAAAAAAATAAAATAAGTACAACTCACTATTTTGACAGAGATTTCCATCCCAGCCGGGCAGGCAAGTACATGTAAAAGAATTGATGCCATCTGTACATGCGCCACCGTTTTGACAGCGATTTGGTAAACAATCGTTGATATCTGAACAAAAATAAATGCAAAAACAAACAAACACATGTGACGTGAAATGTTAAAAACAGGCACACCCATGGTCTCAAGAGGGCGCCCTTTTACCTAGCAACGATGTCCCATGGGTGGGACATTTAGCTGGTTGATGCGCACCGTTCATTTTGTGTGACGCACGTACACCAGGGGATTTGTGCTATGTACACGCAGTGGTAGATGGTACGGCCGCCCGTCACGGCAAAATTGCAGTCAGGTAAGATGGAGTCGGTCGGTCACCCCCAACTGTGCTTTCTTTGCCGGTGAGGGGGTACTTGTGAACGGATCAGATAAGGGCAACAAGTCCAAATTGATGTTATTTTTTTAAAAATAAAACAGCTCGACATGTTTGGCAACTGGAATCACGGGGAATACAGACAAATATCAAAGACACTTATTGTGCTTTGGAAGATTAAAATACGGAAAACAATTTTCCCTCCACATTTGAACTCACCGATTTCACAACGAGGTCCTTCAAATCCGATCAAACAGATGCACCTGTAACTGTTGATGGCATCGTCACACCGGCCTCCGTTCATACATGGACTGCTGGCACACTCATCGATATCTGATGGGGCAGAGGGGGAAACAAAACTGTTAGTGAAAGCGAAACAAAAAAACGACTACTCAGAATCTGTTGGTCGCAGTAGGTGGGCAACCTTATCTGCAAAAGCTGAACCTGAATGCGCAGCATATAAAACTGTACATTCAGGGGAAGGGGACTAGGGGAGAAAATTGGGGGAGGGGGGAATGGTCATTTACAAACGCGTGTACACACAACCCATATGTGACAAATTTTACAGAATTAGAAGCTTTTACTGCAGTGGTGTCACGCTCTCGCGCATGCTGCACGCATTCTTAAAGACGAGGTGCACGCGTATTTTGGTATTCCTATTGGTCAAAGGAGCCCGGAGTGTACTACCTGAGCGAGACTCGAGCGAGCCTTACGCCACCGCAGAAAATGGCTGCCGTCGGATTTGTCTATATTCCTCACAGAAACTCTCCAATCATGCAGGTAAAGGGAGCGCGACCGACAAAGGGTCGGCATTCTAAAAACGATAAAACCATGAATCTTATACAACTTAAATAATATTACGGATGTGACCAATTTTTCAAATACTTGAATGAAAAAACAAAACAAAAACCAGCTACTCGGATATTTGGTGGATGATAGAATATTCAAGTGTACCAGTATATTTGGACACAGCCCGACGCCAACCTGATGTCTGAGAACATTACTCACTTATTTCGCAGAAAGTCCCAGCCCAACCGGCAAAACAGTTGCAAGTAAACCTGTTCACCTCATCCACGCAGTTACCATTCTGACATGGGTTGCTTGCACACTCATTGATGTCTGAAGGAGAGAAAACAGATTGCATGAGAGGTCAAAGTTTGTGAATGAAAGGTATACGGAAACACCATGAGGGAATGATTTCTCAAACTAAGAGAATGGTTCTGAAAAGAACCAGAGGTATACACTCGACATTCCGGTCAGTATGCTCTGACCGTCTTCAGGAGAGTGCCCTAAACCCATAAGGACGAAATGCGAAGTAGATGAAGTGTGAAGTTGCAGACCTAATATGAATGGCTCTGATCCTTTTGGGGCAAAGGCCAAAACCAAATTAGCAAAATGTGACTCAGTTAAACTTTCTCAACACGTCTGCCTCTTGGCGGTTGTCCAGCAATGGCCACACTTACTGATTTCGCAGAGCGGTCCGGCAAATCCCGGTAAACATGTACAGGTGTAGGAATTGACGCCGTCATTACACTGGCCGTTGTTCTGGCAGGGCCGGCTGGCGCACTCATTGATGTCTTGTGAAAGAAGGAAAGAAAACAAAGAACGACTTTTTTAATGTCACCAAATAGGTATTTTAGTATAGGACCATCGGATGGGAATGGAGGTGGGGGGGGGGGGGGGGAAGAGAGACACTCTTGGCCATTTTTACTTAACCTATGCGACTGATGCAACAATTTTTCTTATGACTCCTGTTGGGGAGCATTTTGCTTTAGGTGTGGACGTAAGCTGGCTTTGCTGACAGTGAAACCAGGCATGTAACTTGGAATGAACAAAAAAGAAGAAACAACAATCTTTACAAGACTTTGTAAAGTGTTTTTTTTTTTTTTATTACTGGCATACGTGTGAAGTGAAAAATGAGGAAATCAGCTGATCTGAGGAAAAGTTGCATGGCTGTGAAACCAGAAAATTTGGGTAATCCTTACTTTTAGGACCCAGGTCCTATATAGGAAGGGAAAGACTCACCAAAACAGTTGACTAAATGACACTCAAAATTGACATTCTGATACTTCTTGGCACAGCTGAACAATTGGCAATGACACCTTCTTGAATATCAGCAGGTTTAATTTTGTGGCAAGAGGGCAGGGCTTTGATTTATGAGGGAAATTCAGGGGTAAAAGACGACGATGACAACCAGAAAACAGACTCAAAAACCAAGATGGCAAACGTGAAAGCTCGATGCGATGAAAGCTTGATGCTGATTGGCTGATAAAAAAAATTATTTTTAGTCTGGTTCCCAGACCAAAAGATTCAGTAGTCAGAATCTTTTGGTCTGGGAACCAGACTAATTAATTTTTTTAGCAGCCAATCAGCATCAGGCTTTCATTATGTAGGGCTTTAACGCATGTGAGAACTACAACATGCACGTCTGACTGCGAAAAAAGGTAGGAAAGTCACATTTTCTTCGAAAGTGCTTTCAAAACTACAACTAACATGAGTTTATATGAAGGAAAAAGACTGCTTTAGCCTGCAAAAGTCACTTTGGTACTGGACAGTCATCTGCAAAAGTCAGTTTTGAACAGAACTTGTAAAAAATAGAGGTGTCCTAAAAGTAAGGATTACCAAAATGTGCATATATTCTTACTGAACTGGCACTGATCTCCATTGTAGCCCAACACGCAAATGCAGTTGTACAAGTTGATGCCATCAACACAGGTTCCGTCGTTTAGACAGGGTTGTGACGCACATTCGTCGATGTCTAATGGAATCAAGACAAAAAGAAAGAAAGAAAGAAAGTTTTTCACCCTTGTCCAGCATACAGGTCCCAAAGCGCCCTCTATTATTAACTCATGGAGTCCATCATGGGTCGTCGTCGCTGATCTCCATGGAAACAAATCTGGACAGCTCATTGGCCATTCTCAGCTGTACAAAAAAAATGAAGCTACGCACTGGTTCCTGATCCCTCAGTCCGAATGTGGGGAGGGTACCAGCTTCAAACCTCAAATACAGGTGATTCCCAAATACAGTGTGCCACCAAGAGGTTGCCATGGAGAGTCAATTTTTCGCAGTGCATTGTGGGAGACGGTCGACACACTCACAGCTCGGGACACTTAAAATTGTTGGTTGTCCGGTCAGTAGTTTCGTAAGCGTAAAGAATCGCGATTTTTTTTTCCTTTTTTTTCTTTTAAGATGGTGTGTTTTTTTTGTGAGGTGGCAGATTGCTATGCCCCGATCTATAAAACATTTCCTCAAATTGTCTGACACTCGTTAACAGCAAATCGCAGCAATTATGTCGAACATGTTTTTGTCGACCGCAAGCTTGAAAAAATGGACTCTCCATGGCAACCTCCTGTCAGCGCACTGCACTGGCAATCGCCTGTATTGTACAAACTAATTCAAATAAAAATTGTTTAAAAGTATACGAAAAACAATTCTAAACAGATATATTTCATTGCTTTAGTCCATGAAAAAGTGAAAACATGTCAATTAAAATGTAATATCTTTCTTTAAAAAATCTCTAGTTCTTGGAATGGTAATACGGCGGACGGGGACTTCACTTCTAAGGTTGCAGACCAGTAAAAAAACTTCCATAGACCCCAATGGTAAATGCTCCCACTTCAGGAATTCGGGAAAAATAGTCACAACTCTCCAAGGTGTTTGAGACACACATCAAATTAAAGCTTATTTCATCATCTTTCATTTTCTGTTCAATTTTTGGGGGGTCAACTGATGACTTTCAGAAGAAATTTCCATCCGAAGATGATCACCCCTGAAAATAGTCCTGAAGCCCAACGCCATTTTGAAAAACGATGCCTACACTCCATTGCAAAATAGAGCGCCTTAAGGGCCCCAATTTCATCCAAATTGAACGGAACTACAAGCTCACAGTCCTGTGTACGGCTTCCACCCATATTTTTTTTACAAACCCTCACGTTCATGGCCCACAGCATGCTCAAATCAGTACTGAAGATTTTGAGGGCATGCAAATCGTGATTTGGCCGGCGTAGGCAATTTCGGACCGATTTACTGGTCTGCAACCCTCAAAGCCAATTGGCTATCCAGCTTCGATTACATGGAGATTACTGGTGGTCATGCCACATCGCGCCGGCCATTTACTTACTCCGATCACAGAGGGTGTCCGCCCATCCAGGAAAACAGGAACAAATAAAGCCGTTTATTCCATCCACGCAAGCACCATTCACACAAGGGCCGCTGGCACATTCGTTGATGTCTGAAAAGAGCCAATAATGTCTAACATTACTAATACCATCTGGTATTTATACACTCGGTGTTAATATTATAGAACAGCATTGGAACACTTCAAGGGACTAAAATTCCTGGGGGACACTTCCATCTAGCTCACTTCCATGGATAACAATTCAATCGGAATACTCCTATGCAAACACTTCAAACTTCAAATGGTTGAATCTCCTCTTTAAAATGACACCCTGGTCATGTCATTACATTAACAGTTGACTGAGCAGTGACTAATTTTATGAAAGGGTCTATTTAGAGACTTGCGCCACTTTTCAATTGTGGTTTTTGTTGTGTCAATTGTCACAGAGTGAAAGGCTATGGTTGCCAATCAAGGTAGGTGGGGGAAAAAAGAGATTGCACCATGAAAACTATGGGACTAAAAATACTAATAATAATTTAACCACATTCCATCTTACTGGCACACCACTCAAATAAAAAGGTCCTGTTGTCCCCTTTTCTTAGATACCCCATATGAGGTAGTGATGCTTGTAGTTCGCAAGATTTCATAAATTGTCCTCTTTTCAGCTATGTCCACGTTTCGTGTGGATTCGGTAAATTTGGTAAGTTGGAATGAGAAACCTAAACAAACACAACATGGGAAATGTCAACAACAACAAAACCAAGCAAATGTGAAAAATGCCTCTCTGACTGCATACAAGTTTAGACACTTACTGTTTTGACAATTGTCCCCATCGAATCCAGCTCGACAAATGCAAGTGTAGAAAGCGATGTTATCCTGGCAGGTGCCTTCATTTTGACAGGGGGAGCTGGCGCACTCGTTAATATCTGACGGGAAAGATACACAACATTTATTTATCAAATGTGACATTAGTTTTGGTAGGCCAGGGTTTGTTTTTTGAGGAAAGGGGGGGGGGGGGTGCACAGGCTGGACCTTTTGGGGGAAATCAAACGAACTAATGTCCCATTATGGGCTCCGTACGCCAACAAAAGAGGGCGCACTTTTACCATTTCTGAGAGCCCCTTGGACGAGACACCACATGCCCCTTGGACGAGACACCGCATGTGCGTACTGTAATTCTTGCGCCAAGTAGGCACACATCTTTTTTTTTTATCCTGAATGTGCACAAAGCCAAGCCATAGCGTCTTCCCGCGTGAGCGTCAGGCGTCATCGGCGCGCGAATACGTTTGATTACGTTCAAATTGAACTTGCGATGGTCTCCCAGACTAATCCCCGACCCCAATAACTTTGGATCATTCAAATTACGCAGTGGATGGAACCAGTCGGGAACCAGTCGGGAACCAGTCTAGGCCACCCCCAACTCTCCTTTTCTGGCCGTTGATAGGGTACTTGTGCACGGACCCCATTAAAGCCTCTCTTTTTGACTGAATGACATCTCCAGACCATTCAATACTCCTAAGTTTCAGGAATTCCAAAACATTTTCTCCAAAGTTCTGAAAATACCAGTTGCCTATGAATCCTAGTGCCAGTGGCGTAGCCGGGGGGGGGGGGGGGGGGGGGGGGGGCTGGAACATTTCATGGGGGGGCGTCAAGCAGGGGCGTCAATCGCTTCTCAAAAGAGAGGGGGGGGGGGACATACCTTGATCATAACTGATGCAAGCGCGAAGCACGAAGCCCTTACGGCGTGGGGTTCGGGGCCCGCTTAAGGCCCCCGAAAAAAATTGGATTCTAGATGTTCTGTGGTGTGATTTGAAACAATTTCTTACGACTTTCCTCCATGCTTTAGCTAATATTTTCTTGGCAAAAGATAATTATTGAACATCGTTTTTGAGGTTGGAGACATTGAATCAGCTATCGGTATTCTGAGCTATTGGCGTGGGGTTTGGGGCCCGCTTAAGGGCCCCGAAAAAAATTGGATTTTCGATGCTCTGTGGTGTGATCTAAGGCAATTTCTTACCACTTTAACCAATAATTATCTTAGCACAACAGATAATAATTTAACCATAATTTTCGAGGTTTTCTCAGCTAAAGGCGTAAGAAAATTTTGTGCACATTGTTTTCGAGGTTGGAGCCCGCTTAAGGGCCCCGAAATTTTTTTGGATTCTAAATGCTCTGTGGTGCTATCTGAGGCAATTTCTGACCACTTTCACCAATATTTTCTAAGCAAAAAATACATTGTAGTACATAATAGGGCCCATGGCGTCATGTAGATCAATGATAATTTTTTTAGAAACTCAAAATCTCAGTGGGGGAGGGGCGACTGGGGGGCGACAAGGTTTCATGGGGGGGCGGTCCCCCCCCCCACGCCCCCCCGGTGGCTACGCCACTGCCCAGTGCCAACCTTACTTTTTTCAGGCTCACTTTTCAGAAAACGTGGAGAAATCGTTCTCAGTGTACGATATACACGTTGTTTGTCTCGGGAATAGCGGTGACCAATCACCAATGCAAAAAAAAGTGGTTTCTTCAACGTCCGCAAAAGGCGAACACTTTACGAATGAAATCGCAACTAGCATCCAAACAGCTCAAATTTATGGGGCCGTTAAAGCGGACCCCGAAATTCGTTCTCGCACGCATAATACAGGGATAAGACAAAAACGCCCAGTTTAGAAAGGATAGTTGTGTGGATGTTTATATCCTCCTTTTAAACGTTATTTCCGATTAACAACATCTCGTTCAAAGCGCGTTTCGTAGCCACAATTGGGCTGTTCCAGGACCTAGTGTCCCTTTAATCGTATCAAACCTGGTCACTGATAATAGCCCCCGCCTTCGCTCCATGGCAGTATTATCCCCCTATTCTGACGACATATTGTGATACAGCGATGTATCGATGATTCATTTCACAGCGCAACAACAATCACGATGCGTTACCCACCTATTTCGCAGTTAGTCCCTTCGTAGCCCGCTGCGCAGACACACTGGTATGCATTCTGCAGGTCGTTACACGTGGCTCCGTTCAGGCATGGATTGGATTCACAGTCATTTCCATCTGAGGAGAACAAAGGAGAGAATATAGTTATTTATATTTTCCCTTATAAACAGGCTCGCAACTGGGAGTAACCAAAAAAAAAAAGAAGAGAAACTTCCAAGCTCCACCATAGTGTTTTCAATTTAATTCTTCCCAGGTTTAAGCCAAACCGAAGTTGGAACCATCCTAAGTTGGAATCATCCCATATTGGAATTTAACCCAGATTGAAGTCAAGCCAACCTTGGCAACAATAACTTTACTTGAAGTCCATACTTGGGCTGGATCTAATTGGGCAAATTTACATATCAATTCAAAAGATTCAAAGGTCACCAAGTCTGCCAAGTGCCAACTTTGAGTAAGAGCTAAGAGTGAGAATTTGGCGACAGAGCATAGCGAGCGCGAAGCCCTAACGGCGTGTGGTTCGTGGCCCGCGTTAGGGTCCCTAAAATTGTTGAATTTAAGACGCTCTGTGGTGCTATCTGAGGTAATTTCTGACCACGTTAGTCCATTTTTTTAGCAAAAGATCATCATTTAAACATCATTTTCGAGTTTGGCAGCACTGGGTCACATACTTGTAGTCAGGGAGACAACCAAAAAGAAACCCCACATTTATTGTCACACAACACTTTTTTTCCCAACCAATTCATGAATGCATTTTCCAAACCCAAATTCATACTTTGTAATTTCCTCAATTAGTAATGAATATATATATAACTGAAGCAGATTCAAAGTCTGTATCATAAGAAGATCTCTTTTATTGTTTTGAAATGAGAAAGAGGATCATACTGTAAAAATTAAGATTATACGAATGTCAGGTTATTGTTTAAATTGTTTTTTTTTTACCCTGGGAGAATTAGGTTAACATCAAAACTTGTTTATGCTTGGATCAAAGTTGTAATATCACATCAAGCATTCACGTTGTGAATTCACAAAAGTTGAATACTGTGTTCATAGTGTGATGAAAATTGCCCTTGCTATTTTGGGACGATCGACTTTGAATTCCCTTTTCCAATTGTATTTGTGTGTTTAGTTATTCGAACCAGCCTTGAACTCCTCGAGCACAGAATCAACTGCCTAAATGAAGTTTCAAATCAAGTTAGATGTCCAGCACGTGTGACCATTTTGAGCCCATCAGCCTACTGAAGTTCAGCCACCGTGTACAAATATTACTCATGCTGTGCTTTATACACAAGTCTCAACCTGCCTCACAATTATTGCCCCTGTTCATCAGGCCAATGAAAGCAGTTTTCTGAGGCAAGCTCAAGATCGGTCCAATCTGGTTTGTACCCTTTTACCAGGTGCCCATCTATACTCCCAGGGTGAAGAGAGTCAATTGTAGTCAAGTGTCTTGCCCAAGAACATAAGCACCATGTTCCACAAACCTTCACGCGTGAATCAGACACTATAACCACCGAGTAATAGCCACCAACTTACCGCTCGCCCAAGAAAGGGACCATCCTTCAAGTTGGACGTTCCGGTCGGTGGTGAAGAAGAAGGACATCTGATCTGTCATGGCCACGATATCGTCGGGGACCCCTCCCGTATTCGTGGTGTAATTCCCCTCATAGGCCATGAAGATCGTGCCAGCAGTTGATGGTCCGATATAGACGTCCAAAACGTCTTTTAAGAGCTCAGTATTGAAAGCATCGAAGGTCAGGGTGATCATGCGAGCATTGGGGATTTTGATGTAGTAGTAGCAGATCCGGTTGTTGGGGTAGGTGGCCGGGTAATTTGGGGATGTGATGGTGCCTGATGACATGCCAAAATGGCTGGTACCACAATTTCCACCTGAAATTAAAAAAAAAATTCACTTTTGAATCAATGTAACCTGAGGTTTGGTTTGTATTTTCTGCATGCAATGCCATGCCATGTGGTAGTTCAGATACAATACTCAGGCATATTATGTTGTCCAGGACATCGGTTGGCAAATCTAACATGTGACCTCACAACATCACTTAATCACACGGGTGAGTTCAAATAAAATGAAGAGAAAAAAAAAGAAGAAAACAAAAAAAAAACCACTTTCGATGCATCAATCTTGGAAGATGTAATGTTTCAATACTTCAGATAGTATATTGTATAGAAATTCTGGGTCCAAACAATCACACATAGAAGAGACAACTGCACTGGAATGCAAGACTCCAGAACCCCCCCCCTTTTTTTTTAAGGGAGGAGGGGGATAGAATGAATTCCTGAGCTTTAGTACAAAACTAATCTGAACCCCCCTCCCCTTTTTTTGAAGGGAGGAGGGGGATGGAATGAATTTCCTGAGTTATAGGTACAAAACTAATCCGAACCTATGCTAAGCATTTTGTATTTGAATGTTTACGTATACTAATGACACACAATGACTGAATTTATTTAGGAAAGTGGAAGGACTATTATAACCAATTTTGTTATTGTTTACTTGAAGGTTTCAGCACCCCGCTATTTGTTGGGTCTATGTTTGCGTACTCTGAACAGTGATGAAACAAAAATGGGTCTGTATGCCAGACGTGGGTTTGTGCAGTCTGCGGTACCAGACATTTATTTTGGATTGGTGTATTAACCTGTTAGTCCGACTAATGGTCCTGGCATGAAGGGCGGATCCAGAGCTAAATTTTTGGAAGGGCCACGAGGGCTCGAGTATTGTTTTCTTTCAAAAACGGGAAAGGGATTAAGTATATATAGTATTGTGCGCTGTTTCCACATTGTAATACAAAAACTAAACGGTATGTGTAGTTGATGGATTGCGAGGGAGATACGCATCGTTTTCATTTATTTTCTTGCAAATTTAAGACAAAAAGGAGTTTTCACTCCGATGATAAAAAAAAAAATTGAAGGAGGGGGGCATGGCCCCCATTGCCCCCCCCCCCTCCCCCCTCCCCCGATCCGCCAATTCTGGCATGTTGAAAGGAATTAATGAACAAAAAGTTTGATTGCGGTGGCATGAAATTCAAACCAATGAGTAACTTGATTTTTTTATTGGAGTCCAAGTACAAGCCTGCGTACATTGTAGACCTAGCTGAGACATTATGACGTCACTCTCTGTTTACACACGTGCAATTTCCTACAGGAGCTTGGTGGCACACCTGGCTCCCACTGGAAAGCAAACATGTAAAGAAAGCATGACCCCATTATGTCTTTTTCCTATGAATGTCAGAAAATCCTGAATGAGATCGGACATACCAGCAGGGTCATTGCAATCCTGGCCCTCAAATCCAGACGGGCACATGCATATGTAGTTGTTATTGGACAGGTAGCATACACCGCCATTCTGGCATGGACTTGTGGCGCAAGCTGCAGATGAAAAGAACAAATCAAGAAAAACAATACAAATCATTAATACAAAAAAATCAGCACATAGATGGATGATAGTTGTTGTATAATGTCACTTATAAATGTTACATTCAGGCAGGCGGCTTCACTGCCTGTTGCCCACTTCACGACCAATGCCATCAATAGCACTCCGCACTAATGTTAAATAAGCAAGTACCTGGATCTCTGACAAGCATGCTGTACGAACTTCTCGTGAGAAGATTACGCGCACGCTTGCAGCACCGTTTCTATGCGAACGTATGCGGCCAGGTGTGCATGCATGTGGGCGCGCGTGATTGTTCCAAAGTTTGTCTGGCATGCGCGCATACGGCGCGGAGCAAAATTGGCGTCATGAGTGCGGAGTGCTATCAACTAGTGAACACTCACATGAGCAGTCGTGAATTTCTATACACCCTAGGACAATGCTTTGTGTTTCCCTTTGTCCCTGTAAAATAACACTCTCCCATAGACTAAGTAGGACTGAGTAGGACTTAAAGGAACTTTTGTTCTCCCTATGTGGATCTGTCCTCCATCGTAAAGCCATACGTACATGTACATAAACACACACAAAACTGTAGCAGCCTGATTTGCATTAGCAACTCACAAACACAGTCTAGTGTTACTACATGTATACTTCTAGGACTTAATAATAATAATAATAATAAGTATTATTGCTATCTTTATAGTATTATACCACTTAAGACGTATCTTTATACAAGTAGGGCCCGAGTAGGGCCATAGAGCAGTGGCTATCATTACGGCAGCCGTAACGCGACTTTCAGAACTTACAGAACTGTCTGGTTCCCTGACGTAACAGTTTTCAACGTCATGAACTTTGGCCGCGTAGGAACCAGACTCCCATATGATGATTCTGGGACTTTATTTCCCTTTTTAAAAAAATTCTCCGAACCACTGATTAAAAAAAAAAAAATGAAATCTGCTCAAACATAAAAAACAATTTCATTTAAAACCTTAGGCCTAATGTTAAGAAATTTAAAAAAAAATAAAAATTGAGTAGGCCTGTACTAGAGGGGGCGCGCTGCGGCAGGGGTTTTGACCCTAGTCGCCACGGGGCGACCTGGGGGGATCAGAAGTTGTGAATGTTATGTTCGTAATGTGCTTTTACAATCCCAAAACGATAATATTTCAAAACTGTGTTACGGATACCGATAGCCACTACGTATTAGGCCAAAAAAAAAATAAGTCGGTCTCTGGTCAGCACGCGCGTCGATTTTAATCATGCGCGTCAATCTTTTTTTTCCAAAATGTTCCGTGGTTGCTCCAACAGCGCCCTCTATTGCCGCACCTCTTCAACTTTTTTACCAGAGCACCAAGGAATGGGAAATTGCACCAAGACAAACGATTGAAAGCACCAAGGCAAATTATGGAGGACACCGATGTACATGAGGACACCAAAAAAGCAAAAAAGTACCCCACCTTGTCTGTACAATCCAAGCTTGAAGAAAAAAAAAAAGCAAAAAAACCAAAAAAAAGCCGCTTCGCCGCGTCAATTCCGGAACTTTGGTCTGACCAGAGACCGAATATTTTTTTTTTTGGGCCTTATTTTAGTACAATGTACTACTAATACCATAGAGCAAGCTACCCCTAGAACCATGGGTCTTACGTGTAAGACCCATAGTTCTAGGGGGAACTTAGCTAGAGCAAGGTTCCGTCTAAGCTTCCTCCTTCCTTCCTTGAAAGTGCAGCCTCATATGAATGAGGATAAACGCACTGCCAGAAACACCGGGGTGAACCCCTTCTCTTTAGGGGAATATATACAACATTTGCTTTTGCTGTAATTTTCAGAAATAAATGGATTTGGAGGAATGGTATGTTATACAAAATATTGTTAAACTGGCTTGTTTCGCGTTTTGGGCTTGTAGACGCTGGAAAACCAAGAAAACCTATCATGTTCTTGTAGTCTGGTTCCCCGACCCCACTTAAAATGAAACAGAGCAATTAATACACTTAAGGAATTGTAGGCTCAAAGAATCAGTCTAGCAGGCTTGTACCCCTTCACAGGTGTGTAATCAATTGCAAAGAAAAGTCAGAATAACTTAATATGAAAACTTAGGGACAGTTTTTGAAAAAAAAGCCAGTTTTCTCCAACGCTGGTCGGCCGACCAGCATTGGAAAAATACAGTTTTTCTTGAAAATGTCAGCCCACCAGGAGCCACGATTTTAAAGGATGATTTGAACGGTCAGTCCCTAACAATTCAGTAAGGTATTTCGTGATAATTTGATCATTTCGTTTTTTGATGTTTGCAAATGTTGTATCTTCCCTTTAAGGGGAATATACATCATTTGCAAACATCAAAAAACAAAACTACCAAATTATTATGAAATACTTGAATGACAGTCTTATAACATCTTGTAAAATCATATGGCACCTGTTGGGCTGTCATTTTCAAGAAAAGTCGTATTTTTGCATCAATTTCCAACGCTGGTCATGGCCGTCCGATCAGCGTTGGAAAAAAAACTGGCTTTTTTTTCTAATACTGCCCCCGATTCATCATATTTAGTGAATCTATGAATGGGTACAAGCCAGCTAGACTGGTCCCCTGACCTTACAATTCCCTGACATCTATAAATTGTTGTGTTTCATCTTAAATGGGGTCAGGCATTGTCAGGGAACCAGACATGCCAGACAACAGGAATAAATGCTTGTTTTTCTTGGTTTTTCCAGCATCTGTGCACCAACACAAAACTTCAAACAAAGTTATATTTGCTATAAAATACTAACCCCCCAAATCCATCCTTTCTGAAAATTACGGCAAAAGCAAATGCTGTATATTCCCTTAAGTTTAGGTGATAATTGTTACTGGGCTCTTAGTGCATTTACAACGCACGGGACCTACATCATACATGACCTACGGCTTTACGTCCCATCCAAAGGACGAAGCGAAGCAATATAGGCTTAATGCCTTGGTTCACTGTCTTGCTTAAGGACACAAGTGTCAAGACCGGGCCGCGGGACTCAAATTAAACCTAGACCCGTGAACGTGGCGTTGAGTTTACAAGCCACGTTCACTGTTCACAGGCATGACAGGTCTAGCCTGTGAGTGACATGATCAGAAACACCAGAGCTTGATCCGGTGTTCTTAACCGCTCGGCCATGACACTCCAATAATATATATCGATACTTTCCTCAGCGTTAATATCCAGAAGTGGACCTTGCCAAGTAGATGTAGATCACTGACTTCCATTGACAAGTGACAGAGATCAGTGATCGATGGTGGTGATGTATCGCTGTTTTAAATCCGTGCTGTGTGATGTAAACACATGTTTGTTTGTGTAGTCTACCGCCCTCTCGTGATAAAGTACATGTACAAAATGTACATTGCGCGTACGCGTAATGCATGTGATGAGTACGAGTCATAGAGCTGTATAATAAAGATTATCATGGTACGAGTACAATAATACAATCGGGGAAAAAATACCGTGCGTTTTAGAAACCATGATTATTACTTTTTGTAAGATGAGATGTTTTGTAAATAATTTGGGCCTCCCTTCTTGCTTTGAGTTACATAAAATCATGCAATGCACTCCCATCCTAGTCGCAAGTCGTGAACAGTCTGTCAATCGACGCACAGTGACGTCAGTCAACCCCGCCTCCCTCTCCCCTACTCTCCGAACTTCATAGCCAATCATTAACCAGTGACCTATCATGCAAATTAGGTGGGCGGAGTGTACGTGTCGCTAACAATAGACAACGTCAGTGACTCTTGCGGTACCGTACGTAGGCATTGACGTCGGAACGGAATGTCCAATCATAGGTTTGGAAATGTGCCTGTTCAATCTGAATCACAATATTATGCAGATCTTAAGTATTATGAGCTTTGAGATGCAGATAGCGCCCGACCGTTTTTACATGTCCATGAACCTGGTTTTTTTTAAAAACAAATTCCAGGGCAAGGCTTTATGGGACTACAATAGGAAAGGGTGCGCCGATTGCCACCTCAGGCTGCAACACTTCGAGAAAAAGAAAACTATGGGTAAAAAAGAGGGCAAATCTGACAGCAAACGAAATCAGAGTAATTTATTATCCATATTTTCCTCGCGGAGTTGTATGACTTTGATTGATTTTGTTTCATTTAAATTCCCAAATTTGTTTTCTTTCCTTCTTTTTTTGCCAAACTTAAAGATTTTTTTTTAAAATTAATTACCCGAAGTTGTAAGCAATCGAAATGGCACAGGTTTGGTCGAGTGGTCTCGACGTGACCATGTTAAGTATCTTGCTTATATCTTAACCTAAAACAGGAACGTGTAATAGGCAGTCAAAAAGTACTATCAAAGACTAAGCAACCTTTCATATTAAGCCCATAAAATCATCAAAAGGCACGGTCTTGAAAGCTTAAAAGTACCAAAACTTCAATCTAGTTTTCACATTTTTCAGCCAAAAAAATGGGAAAAAAAGATATATATATATATATATAAATTATACATTTCCACTACGTTTTACGACTTTATAATCTACCAGCAGTAAAGACCAAATTACCAATCTCACTATGATGTTCACCTTGGTTCAGAGTTCCAAGTCTAAAGGCAAGGTCTTGAAAGCTTAAAAGTACCAAACTTCAACCTAGTTTTTAAATTTCTCAGCAAAAGTAAAAAAAAAAATATAAATATACAAACTATAAACTTCCACTACGTTTTAACGCCTTTACATTCTACCAGCAGTACAAAGACCAAATTACCAATCTCAGATGTTCACCTTGCCGGTCCAGAGTTCATACGGAAGAAGAAGAAGTAATGACTTTCATACTTCTCAATTAATTTAATTTAATTGAGTTATAAGTGCGGTTTACGTTTTCATGAAAATGAAATGACCCCCCCCCCCCGAAACTTTTGCTTTTGTTGATTCGCTCAGTCAAAAGGCGAAAGTGAGATGCATCTACCAAAGGTTATGTTCTATTTAGTCCAAAAACTATTCGCAATTCAGAATTCACAAGTACGAGTGCACACGACAGCAACGAATAACTCCGATCGAGAGATAAAATTAATAAAATATTTCTGTGATGAGATTGAAGTGGAAGAAAGACAAATCACTCACCACCGGTTGTATCCTGCGCTTTCCCCACGGCAATAAGCGCCAACACACCCAGCAGGATCATCGGCTTAATTGCCATGATGATGATGATGGTGCTGCGGGTTGCTCCTTACACCTACCGTTAACTCGGTGTCAGATCAACCAAGAAAACTAGGCGTGTGCTGTCCAGTTACTCGTTCGACGGTCTAGACCGAGCCAGGAGCCTGAGCAGAGTGACTAGTAGCTTCAGAGTACCTGCCGAAGTCAGTGGCTATGTCCCGGGGGAGATCAGCAGCCCAGATTGCTACCTCCCTAGCTCTCTATGCACCAACGCCCACACCAATCACCTCTGCCATAAGTGCCCGGAAGGGGGGGGGGCCTCCATAGAACTTTTCAAGCAAGGCGCGCCAGGTGCTATTGTTACGACTGCGCTGAACCGCGGAACCTTCTTTTGTATTTTAAGGATATGTATAGTTTGTATTCTTTCAAGTTTTTTTTTCAGACAAGGTTGGTGCAATTTTTTTTTCTGTCGGTCTTTTGGAGTTAAGGGTTGGCTGATTTGAAGGCTGTCTGCTGTGCATATTGATTCCCATATTTCAAATTTCACTGAAGTTGAGGCCGGGGTCGCGTGCAGCTATTTGTACTTTTAAAAGTACAAAATGGCTGCATGACCCCGGCCTCAAATTCAATGGAATTTGAACTATAGTGTAACAAAACAACGTTATCTGTTCGGAATTCCACAGTTTTTGAACTCAGGCATCACTCATTCGGGTTTTTTTTTAACTAGAAATATTTAATTCTAGGTTGCAAAAGCACAAGAAAACGCCTCTGCATGTGATAAAAAGGTACCTGAGTGGATCTGGAAAGCAAACTTATAAAGGGAAAACTTGTAAGGATGATTTTGTCAACGATTACATAATGAATTACATGCGGAATTAAGCTAGATATTCGAGAGCAAAACAACCAAAATTCACAGTGGATGGGTCTTACAGAACGCCGACCAACGAATTTCAATCCATACTCTTCCAAAAACCTTATTATATGCCGTAGAGCCAATCGAATTAGTCTACAGAAATAAGAAGGTTATTTGTTTTAAACAACGCCTGAATAAATCCCCTTCCATCTGATCGGTGGGTCGTTGATCACATGACATTGAATTATTCGTCCCAGCCCACGGCCCGGCCTCATCGCTAAAAAATCATGAGAAATGTTATTCCACGGTCAATAGACCTTTATCATGCTGCCACCATTTCAGTCATGTTCCCTGTATCCAATGACAGTACTGAATGATAATGTTTTGGTGCAAAACGGAACCAGACTGTTTTTTTCCTTCAAGTCTCGCTTTGGTTACGCTGATTTGAATGGGAAAAATCAAGATGGCCGCAGCGTGATAATGGTCCATAGAAATGCCATTGCACGGTCACGCGATTGGGGGCTCAGACCAATCTGTGACGAGGATTTATTCACGCGTTGTACAAAACAAATAACGAATGTTCCACACTCGTGCGATGGAAAGAATAATTTCATTCGGTGACTCTGCTTCGCTCATGGAATGGAATACATTGCACTCATTGACACCCATTATTTGTATAATAATACTGCTAATCAGCTTCGGCATCAAGTTAGGGCTTTACTTTTGTCCCACAAAACACGGATCCCGTCAAAGGTTTCAAGTGCATGTACATGTACATTGATGTATTTATTATATCAATTATCTGTTATATTTATTACACTACCGCTATATACACAACTTGAAATCATACATCTCCATAAAATGCTTCATACTTTTGCGCCGTCTATACGTCCCGATCATGTAAAACCCGTTTTGATATCCATTTTCCCCTCGACTTTGTCCGTGGCCCGGCGCCATTGTCGACTGAGCTTATACGGTCTGTGTGGCGCGGTTCAAAGACGTGGGATTATTCACGGTGCGTTGGTTGAACACGTACAGGAATCGCCTCAGGCAGCCAATTCCCTTGACATAAAGGTGTGCCAGCACAGTGTTGGTATTAGACATACCGATGCTGAAAAGAAGAAATGTGCTAATAACACAACTTTGTCCCGAATTCAACTTGCAGCCACTATAGAGACTGGCAAAGTTGAGAAACGTAAACGCCATCACTTCATTGGAAACTCTTGCTTCATGCTGAAATACAATGCTTCACAAATTATGCTTTAAAACACCCTCATTAAAATTGGAAAGCAGAGTTGAACATGATTTTGAGACATGTAGGTATGCGATAATTCCGGAGAATTCTGGCAATGTTGGCAAACTTGTGAAAATGTTGTTTTCGAATATGTAGAATAGTGTGAGGACAGTTTGATATCAATGACGATAGCAGACACCTTTTGTTAATACATTTTCACAGAACATGGTCTTGGGACGGTTGGTTAACCTTCACATTTAAACAGGTTTGGGTGGCTAGGGCGAAGCAGTATAGCACGAACTTTTAGTACGTGGCCGCCATTTTTGTTACATTACTGTTGCCTTCTCATGGTGCCTTCTCATGGGTTTGTCAACGCCAAAAAAAAGCTCTCCACACAGAGGCAAGCAAATTATAGAACGGGGAACCAGTTTACGGCATGTTTCTGATTCTATAGGAGGCCGCGCCTAAAACGATGTCTTAATAGAACTTTATCACGCTGCCGCCATTTCGACATGTTCCCTGTATCCAATAACAGTACTGAATGATAATGTTTTTTTTTGCGCAAAAACTATTTTTCCTTCCAGCCTCGCTTTGGTTACGTTGATTTGAATGGGAAAAAATAACGATGGCTGCAACATGATAATGATCTATTGTAGTAACAAGGAGAATTACAGAACGCCACTCATAGCCTCATTACTGTATTTTGACCTTTGTCAAACAAACTTATTTAAGTGGCAAAGCATTTTAAGGGACCTTTCAATGCCATTTTTCTCCAAACTCTATAACAATTTCCATGTCCAAGGTGATCGCTTTGAAATGTGGTGACGTGTTCTACTCTCTAAATGCAAAAGAGTGAAAAACCAAACCACTCTATATACTTAAGAGCCATTATGGGGGACAACTATTTCGAGTGGGTTAGTTAGGTTGCATCTTTTTGAATAGTTTTTCACCATGACCCATTGTGAAAAAGCACTCTAAAAAGAGTGAATTAACTTCCACTCATTTATGTGGGGGCATATGACCTCTGGGATTTACACCCTTTGTAACATTCACTAAAATGACATATAGCTACACTTGCATTTATATTTAAGCCGATTTATTATCAAGCACCTTGCGAAAATATTCGGTGTGGCTTGCTGTCATTTAAGAGAAATCAAAAATGTATGATTTCCAAACGGTCAGTCATTTGTTTTTGAGTGATTTTTGCGAATACAGAGTACTGCGGAAGAAACCGTGTTTTGTGATCAAAAGGTTGCGCATGGTTTGTCACTGTTTTCCCGAAAATTTTAACAACCACTATATTGAGCTGAAATTTCAACATGTTAGGTTTTTAACATATTTCTTTGAATTTTGAGTTGTACTATTATTGGACACAAACAAAATGCATGCATTACAAGCAAATGATCCTGTTAAAAAAATACCGCCATTTAAAAAGCAGCTTGCACGTAAACGCGAGACAGTGGAGACAACGACTTCGCTTCTCAAACGCCGGGAAGTGTTGCGCTCAATTTTGTTGCCCGAGACGAGACTGTATTCATGCAATCACCTTGGACTATTGGCACTTTCCCTCAGTTACCAGAATGAAATGCTGTATTCTATCCTGTGACCGTAGAGGTTTCACCACAGAAAAAAAAGGAGAGGCATCGCTGGTGCGTTAACAACTTTACCAAAGATTCTTTTCATATGAACCATGCCAACGTGTTGTACGGCCTCAATTCGATCTTTTTTTCTTTCTTTAAAATTCACGGTTTCATACTCCCACGTATTTGTTTAATAGCTTATCGTCACAGACTTTGCCCGTGCGTCAATGCCCGAGGGTATGAGTATATAACCGTAACGATTGCAAGAAAGGCTAAATTCAGGGTGTTTGTATTTGGGGGGTTGGAATTGAACTATACATGTATTTCAGATCATGCAGGTCCAACACTTTTTTGGCGAACAAGAAAAGACCGAATACACGAATTCAAAAGCCTCAATTCAACGCAGTGTCGGCTGATGCCATGTTTCAATGTATACCTGGTAAAACTTTACAATTCTTACAAAATACTACCAACGCAATATTATGGAAGTTTTATCGGCATCAGAATTGAAAAATCACATGGTAAAAACACTTGGCATGTTGCCATTTATTTTGTGGGGAATCGTCCTGAATCCTTTCAAATCCTCCACCGATGATACATTTGTATTTTGTACTCTCATAGTGCATCAAGCCCCATGTAAAGAAACAGCCTATCTGGGCTCTATACCTTCCTCAATCCTGCAAAATCCTCAAAAATCTTCTGGTTGATTTCGACGGATCTCGGGTAACATATTCACGCTCCCATCCCTTCAAAGTCTCATGCAGTCTACCGAAAGGATACACACCAATCCGATTTTGAAACTATGGTGATGGTTCTGGTACCATTGCTGGGGTGCTTCCGTGCCTGAAACGCCCATACAAGTACACGTGCCAGCCCAGTAAGTAAAAAAGTGGGCAACTCAAATAGACCTTACAACTGTTATTTCGGTTGTGTACTAGGCCTATACGAACCTAGCAACCAGTTGTAAAAAAAATGAACAAGTTGTGTAATATTTTACACAAGTGGTCTAAACAACAGCTTACACAACAGGTTGTCAGGTTCATATAGTACATAACCGTTTGACTTTTACACAACCGAAACAATAGCGTATACACGATCATGCTCCCTGAATCTATTAATAAACCTTTCTTCTATTTGTAAACATTGGCGCCATTTTTGTTATGGGCTGCCGCAAGCGCATACATTGAAGCCGTGGTTAGCAACATTTTTTTCCAAAAAAAGTCCTTATAACGCCCTCAATATATAGTACAAAGGCATGTTTAAGAATTATGCTGTAGCTTTGTTGACAAATGATGTATTTCCAACATTCAAATAATATCTTGGTTATCTGTAATAACTCTTTTTCATTTTTGCAGCGTTGGACCTTCCATAGTTTTGCAACCCGTGGTTGGCAAAATGTGCAGTTTGCCAACCAAGCGTATAGAAAGGTCCATTGTATACTGTTGAATGACATAGTGCCAGAATAGTTTTTGATCGTAGTGTTTTTCAAGCCACTCTTTCAATTTTTTTTCTAAATGTGGCTTAAAAAAATTAGGGTGTATTTAATTACAAATTTTTATGTTATTCATCAGATTAAACTGG